CATAAAGCCCCTGCCTATGTCCCAGCTGCCATAAAGCCCCTGCCTATGTCCCAGCTGCCATAAAGCCCCTGCCTATGTCCCAGCTGTGATAAAGCCCCTGCCTATGTCCCAGCTGCCATAAAGCCCCTGCCTATGTCCCAGCTGCCATAAAGCCCCTGCCTATGTCCCAGCTGCCATAAAGCCCCTGCCTATGTCCCAGCTGCCATAAAGCCCCTGCCTATGTCCCAGCTGCCATAAAGCCCCTGCCTATGTCCCAGCTGCCATAAAGCCCCTGCCTATGTCCCAGCTGCGATAAAGCCCCTGCCTATGTACCAGCTGCCATAAAGCCCCTGCCTATGTCCAAGCTGCCATAAAGCCCCTGCCTATGTCCCAGCTGCCATAAAGCCCCTGCCTATGTCCCAGCTGCCATAAAGCCCCTGCCTATATCCCAGCTGCCATAAAGCCCCTGCCTATGTCCCAGCTGCCATAAAGCCCCTGCCTATGTCCCAGCTGCCATAAAGCCCCTGCCTATGTCCTAGCTGCGATAAAGCCCCTGCCTATGTACCAGCTGCCATAAAGCCCCTGCCTATGTCCAAGCTGCCATAAAGCCCCTGCCTATGTCCCAGCTGTGATAAAGCCCCTGCCTATGTCCCAGCTGCCATAAAGCCCCTGCCTATGTCCCAGCTGCCATAAAGCCCCTGCCTATGTACCAGCTGCCATAAAGCCCCTGCCTATGTCCCAGCTGCCATAAAGCCCCTGCCTATGTCCCAGCTGCCATAAAGCCCCTGCCTATGTCCCAGCTGTGATAAAGCCCCTGCCTATGTCCCAGCTGCCATAAAGCCCCTGCCTATGTCCCAGCTGCCATAAAGCCCCTGCCTATGTCCCAGCTGCGATAAAGCCCCTGCCTATGTCCCAGCTGCGATAAAGCCCCTGCCTATGTCCCAGCTGCGATAAAGCCCCTGCCTATGTCCCAGCTGCCATAAAGCCCCTGCCTATGTCCCAGCTGCCATAAAGCCCCTGCCTATGTCCCAGCTGCCATAAAGCCCCTGCCTATGTCCCAGCTGCCATAAAGCCCCTGCCTATGTCCCAGCTGCCATAAAGCCCCTGCCTATGTCCCAGCTGCCATAAAGCCCCTGCCTATGTCCCAGCTACGATAAAGCCCCTGCCTATGTCCCAATCACAAGGTTTCACTTCACGTATCCACAGCTTAACATACAATATCCAAGGAACCGAAAACACAACCATAGTAACTATAAGATATAGTTCGACATCAAGACAGGACTGTAAGAGACACGGCACACATCCAACACTACCAAGGACATGCTTCACAAAGCAGTCTCAGCAATGTGACTTTAGTCTATGACACATGATACAAGTTCCAACAGAACGTCTTTATGAAACTGGTCCCTGAGTCACTAGGTGTGACATAAAGAGGTTGTGTCATGCACATGTAATGATTATTGCAAAGGTAAAAACAATTAATCTGTATTAGGGCTGGGACGGGTAACTGAGATACCCGGGTTGGGTTGGTACTGACTAGGACCTAGGTACCTACAGGACTACCCGGACCCGTGGTTAGTCACGTGATATATTGTTTAATGACAAAAATTATCTCGGACTCTATGGTTACAGTACAAGTCACTGGGGCGGTGGGGTAGCCTAGTGGTTAAAGCGTTTGCTCGTCACGCCGAAGACCCGGGTTCGATTCCCGACATGGGTACAATGTGTGAAGCCCTTTTCTGGTGTCCCCCGCCGTGATATTGCTGGAATATTGCTAAAAGGGGCGTAAAACCATAGTCACTCACTCACTCACTACAAGTCACTAATGTTCGCATTTCTTTCTGACTATGCACCAATTCCTTCTGATTTTTCATATGGTTGAATAAAGAAATAACTTAATTCAACGTCAGTGTATGAATGACCAGATTGTTTAATACGTGCATTGCCTATGCTACATTTTTCCAGGGCTATGCTAAAAATGTTCCCAATCGGACCTACAGTGGGTACCCGGGTAGGGTTGGGTAATAGGGGGATGGGTACCCGGGTAGTAAATTTGGACTCATCCCAGCCCTAATCTGTATATCATCAAACATACAAGCCACCTATTTTCAGCTGAAAGAAGCATGGCCTAGTTAGCTGCTTCTAGATTATTATCTGTGACTTATAGTGCACAACACAACACAACAATCACCCTTGAGGCCATCTGAACGTGAATGTGACATGTGACAATATCCAACTGCACAAACAAAAGCAAACTATTGCAACATTAATCACAGTTTCGTTGTTCAATGATGTATTTGATTTTACTCGATGATTATTTTTCTTCACTGTGACCTTGATTTAAGTTAAAATGCAATATCATAACGATCCCACCAATAAATATTGATAGTATGAAGCATGACTATGAAATTCTAAGAAGTTAAATAGTGTTTGTTTGTTCGTTTGATGTTTAACACCGCACTCTGCAATATTACAGCTATATGGCAGCAGTCTGTATATAATCGAGTCTGGACCAGACAATCCAGTGATTGACATCATGCAATTGGGATCGATGACATGCATCAACCAAGTCAGCGAGCCTGACCACCCAATCTCGTTAGTCGCCTCTTACGACAAGCACAGTCGCCATTTACAGCATGTATGGGTTGCTGAAGACCTATTCTAACCCGGATCTTCACGGGCTGACAATAGATATTAAGCTACAACTCAATTTAAACTTATATTAATGAGGGACTTGGGTTGAATTCAGCTTTGAACAATATTCGAGTTTATGAATTATATCACAGTGTCAGCTTCACGTGGAATGAAAAACCCTAATTGATGCAGGTTTCGGATGCTTACCCTTTTTTTGCACTGGGCATGGGTGTAGTGCCAACAAACAAAGAAACATAGTCATTGCGAATCGGTTGCTAGGGATCTGTTCTAACCAGGTATCATCACACAGCTAAATATTATTGGTTAGTAAAACAACAGCAATTGAAAAAATTCTGTCTTCATGAAATGTCTTGTTCGATAGGAATGATCGTTTTTATAAGTCTCACATTCTAAAACAATAAGTACTGAAATATAGTAAAACAAGTAGTTTTGTAACACACATGCAAAACAGTAAGTACTGAAATATAGTAAAACAAGTAGTTTTGTAACAAATACAAAACAATAAGTACTGAAATATTGTAAAACAAGTAGTTTTGTAACACATACAAAACAATAAGTACTGAAAAATAGTAAAACAAGTAGTTTTGTAACACTTACAAAACAATAAGTACTGAAATATTGTAAAACAAGTAGTTTTGTAACACACATGCAAAACAATAAGTACTGAAATATAGTAAAACAAGTAGTTTTGTCACACACATGCAAAACAATATAAAAAAGTATGAACATAAAATTAACAATGGAAAACGTTTCAATGTAAACAAAATTATTGCACAATTTGAATGCCAATAAATCTCTCTAAGAACTGTCACTGCAAAAGCAGACACATAATGACAACATTATCACAAAAGTGAGCATAAAATTTCCTCAAGCGACACGTCACACTTGTACCCAACATGACACTCTCAGGTCTGACATACTGAGCGAATTGGGTTTAACGCCGCTTTTAACAGTATTCCAGTTATATCACGGCATGTCAGCTTAATGTGGGAGGAAGTCCGAAGTGATGCAGGTCTCAGACGTTTACCACTTTGATGAAACCCACGAGCACGGGTATTGGGCTGACAAACCTAGAAACATAACTGGGTGAACCGGGATTCAAACCCACAATCATAGGTTTCTGGCATGCCCAAGGGACGCAACTCTGCACAGCGAATTGTGGCCCCTTAGGCGACTGGGCCAACCGTGGCCCTGTCAAGTCGGACATAAATATCTTCGCATGGACACATGTGAAAAGATAAGGAAATGTTTTAAGTCTGAACTTGTGTCACATGCTACACTCTTGAGGCTTCCCTTAAAAGGGGAAATTAGTCACCAATCAATAGCATTTCAACCATAAGTATTTTGAAAACAAGGTCTTCTCATTGATTTAATGAAACCTAAAACTGGAATCATTGGAGTATAAACATGATGAATATCCATAGAAAACTATCAATACTCAATGGGAATAACATGCACGTAAATACTCAATCGCTTAATACATCATCTGCAGTTCTGCCTATGTTACTTCACGACAGAATGACTTTCAAATAAATAAAGAAAGAAAGAATGGAGATATAACACCCTGGATAACGGAGGATGGTACAACACACTAAGGGGGAAGCTGCAGTAGGCTGTAGCCATGGTAACTGTCAGTGTTCATTCATGTCCTACATTTGACTGAAAATATCTGATACTTGGCACAAAGTATAACAGCACAAAAATAACAAGTTGAGAATGTTTGCTGAAGACGTGAGCCTGATCTACGACACTGGGATGAGGAACAAAGTATATGTTAATGTCAATCTCATTCACTATAACGTGGTCTGCTATGTCACAGCAGTAGGCAATGCATGACCTGTGTCACTAGCCATACATCCCGTTATTGACACATTCAACAAGTTTATCAGAAGTTTGCAAGTATTGGAGAGACATCTGCATGTGACAAACTTTCAATATGATAATTCAAATGCGAACAGGGTCAATTGTGACATGAACAGGAAGTGACATCACATCAAACATGTCACGGATGGGAGACATGTCCATCGGGCAGTTTCTTTTATCAAGGCTAAAAAAGATAATAGTCTTGGTTCTCAGGCACCACCTGCATCAAAAAGTTCACTGCACGTTTCATTCATATTTCCATTTTAAAAAAACCAACAAAAATCCAAAAATATTCCAAGTCCAACGGTAGTTAAATACTGTATTCCAGTATTTTACTCATCAAGGAATACATTTATGTAGGGAGGCCCTTTCCCAGGTAGATTGTACACAACTGATTATTTGGTTATATACTAGTTTGAACAACCAACAACAAAAAACACACTGCCCGCCCACCCGCCTGCACTATATTTTCAAAAGCCATTGCCTGAGAACCAATTCTTTTAAAGACCAATACTATTCTGGAACACAAAATCATAGTAATAATAATGATGATACACCTACACTTCTATTCATATAAGTTTCCATAAGTACATTTTATCAATCAGCCAAATATTTGTCAATGAGATCATCTTAGTATTAAAGATATTCTTTCATGGAACCGACACACAGAAATATGGGTTGTGGGGTAGCCTAGCGGTTAATGCGTTCACTTGTCATGCTGAAGACCCGGGTTCGATTCCTGTACAAGGGTACAATGTGTGAAGCCCATTTCTGGTGTCCCCTGCCGTGATATTGCTGGAATATTGCTAAAAGCGATGTAAAACCATACTCACTCACAAACATGACCTCTGCATAAACGAACACAACTGGGGCTGGTCTGATACAACCGTTTTGTTTGTTCTATTGCTTGCAACAGTGTTTCTCTGAAGAGTTTATTGTTTATATTATACTCTTACACACTTCATATCAGTCTCCTGAAACTGTGGAAGAGGAAGTGAACGATGAAGATGAGGGAGACTGTGACAAAGCTGTGGGACGTCCTCGTCGCGATGTCAAACACAGTGGGGTCATACTCGAAACAGTTGGTGCCCTCGACAACTTGGAAGTTCTGAGCCTCACAGAAAGCTGTCCCATTCTGGTACTTGTAGCCTGAGAACAATTAACACACACAATGTAATAGTTAGTATCATTGAAGTCAGATCTTGTTTGTTTGTTTGTTGTTTAACGCCGCACTCAGAAATATTCAAGCTATATGACGGCGGTCTGTAATAAATCAAATCTGGACCAAACAATCCAGTGATTGACATCATGAGCATCAATCTACGCAATTGGGATCGATGACATGTATCAACCAAGTCAGGGAGTCTAGCCACCCGATCCCGTTAGTCGCCTCTTACTACAAGCACAGTCGCCTTTTACGGCAATCATTTGTTGCTGAAGACCTATTCTACCCTGGATCTTCATGAGTCCACAGCGGAATTTGTTGCTATGAGGGAGGTGGTTGGTGGGTGTGTACGGGTGATTGTTTTTAATTGTTCTACACTGTTACAGGATTGAAGCAAGAAGGAATATTGCATACTGTTGTGTCAGGATAAGCATATAAATAAGGGGAATACTCCGATTCTCTATACTTCTTAAATAAAGACATACATAGATCACTGAGGTAAGCGTGTTTCCTTATCTTAAGTTTCATAAGTAAGGAAAAAAAAAATACTACGCAAGCCGTTAATGAGGGCAATAATCGGTAAATCATACAATGTCATTCAGAAAGAAAATACGGATAGACAGACCAGATAATGACAATATTTTGAGTCCGCTAAGGCTAAAAAAATAATCGTCTTGGTTCTCAGGCACCGCCCACATCATCAAAAAGTCTGCACATGTTTCATTTTTCCATTTTAAATTCTTAAAAATAACCCTTATACTTAAACAATGCAATCCAATATAACACAGTTACTTCCCTTTACATACCCACTGCTTTACTGCACATCTCATGTTATGGTCATGGCAGCAATAGGAGTTTGTATGCTTGTTTATGTAGGGAGGCCCCTTCCCAGGTTGATGCCTGAGAACCAATTCTTTTATTTTTTTAAGACCAATAGCCTGAGACACTCACCGACAGTGTCTCCTTCAAAGGAGGCTGTCTTGCAGTCTTCATACAGCGAGTCACAGTACTCAGAACACACCATCAGCTTGCTGGAACAAACAAACTAGTCTCAGAAAAGTTATATCCACACTCAGGGCGATTGATGCTCAAAATTCTCTTTTGTGACAGTATGACATATATATGTCAATAAAGTGTTCTTTATTTATATGTTCCCAATTATGAAAACAATGACGACAATACGTGGAAATGTTATCACAAATTGGCCTAAATCGCTAATAATAGACCAACTGAAGTTAGCAGGCTCTGGCACACCGCTGTTATTGATTGAAGACATGCTATATAAAATGTCACAAGCATAAGCAATTAAGAACTTCACAAACAACATCAATAATAAATTAATTTCTTAACAAGCACCCATTAAAAATGTCCAATTTTAAAGTCGAATAAACAATTATCCTTTTTATTGTTCACACTTGCATACTTTTTAGTGAGTGAGTGAGTGAGTTGGGTTTAACGCCGCTTTTAACAGTATTCCAGTTATATCGTGGCGTGTCAGCTTAATGTGGGAGGAAAGCCCGAAGTGATGCAGGTTTCGGATGTTTACCACTTCCGTGAAACCCATGAGCACGGGTATGGTGCTGACAAACCTAGAAACATAATCGGGGCGAACCGACATTCGAACCCACAATCATAGGTTTTTGACGTGCCCAAGGGATGCAACTCTTGTTTGTTATAACCGTAGTTTGTTATAAGCATACATACAGCATATATATACAGAAAATGGACGGGACCAAGAAACCCTTATATCCGTCAGCTCTTTATAAACATAGTTTACTGCATAAAAACATAAGTATAGAGCCTTTTCCTAATTTTCAGTGAAACAAAGTCACCATTACAACCCTGAAACTTTTATGTCATATTTGTCCTTAATTGCTGTAGACATTGAGAGACCTCGGACGGAATATCCAGAGAATGGCCTATGAGAACACCCAGATGAATGTGTAAATACTTCCTTCAAGTCAACCTGAGGAGGTTGGGTGAGGACTGGCCCCAATGTTAAGGAAAACCTCATCGATATAAACATTGCCGATGGCTGATAAATACACTAATTTGAGTTCCATATAACCGTAGTTCATTTTTATCATATATACAGCATATATACAGCAAATGGCCGGAACAAATAATAAATCTGCAAAATCCATCAGTTTGTTGTAAGCGTGTTGGTTATAAACATAGTTTACTGTACTAGCATGTGTCTGGTGGGCCAGCATATTTGTTGAACCCTGTAGAGTTACTGTGAGTGAGTTGGGTTTAACGCTGCTTTTAACAGTATTCCAGTTATATCACGGCTGGTCAGCTTAATGTGGGAGGAAAGCTCGAAGTGATGCAGGTCTCGGACGTTTACCTCTTCGGTGAATCCCACGAGCACGGGTTTTGTGCTGACAAACCTAGAAACATCACAATGATAGGTTTCTGGCATGCCCAAGGGACGCAACTCTGCACAGCAAATTGCAGCGCCTGAGACAACTGGGTCACCCGTGCCCCCACTATCAACAATAAGACGGCCTAACTGCACACTGATGTGTAAATACCAATTTGAATATAAACACAAACACGGTTTATCAAACAGCAGTTGTAACAAGTATCTAACAATGTCATTTAAAGAATAGGAATTACACAATGGGCATCTAGTGAGCTATCACTGCTGTGGTCAAGAGTTCTACCCAAACAAGGCATCATTGACCACTCCAGCAGTCCAGACAGACGCCACCCACGCAACACTTCGCCAAAGGCCAACACGACACAACGCGCACCGATGGGCTTCATCACACTCCTCAGATCTACAGCCTTTATCTTGTCATCTGCCTTCAAGTTTGTTGACATCTTCTCAGCAAACCAATAATTGGACTGTTGTTGGATCAATTATTATATTGCCCTTGAATTTCCGCAATGCAAGTCTACAGAATAAACATATAAACTGTGTTGTTTTTAGGAAAACATTGTCTATTGTTTTTACGGAAGTGCTCTAAGTCAGCACTGATAAGCGGTGCTATTTGTGTTTGATTGGATTAATTTAAGGTTGGATTAATGTAAGGATATGTATCATTCCACTGGGGATGGGGTGGAGGGAGTCGCATTGGCAGTGAGTCTTATTTTTGGGTAGGGGTCAGCAGTCTTGTTAATTTAAAGATTTACAGTATTCATTGTATTTTAAGAGCAGTTATTCGTGTCTGTCATTTCATCCATCAGTCATGACCACTGTCTACATGATCATTAATTCATTCTACATGTTCTAGGCTCTAAGATAATTATCAAACATACAGTTCACTACACCATTTCATTACTTTACGGGCAGGACCCTCATATTGCCTGTATATTGCCATATAATAATTATTGGGGCCCCCTCGACTCCCACTTTCGTAAGTCCAGGTAAAACCCTGCGGTTTGTATTGAGCTTGCATAACTTGTTAATTTAAGATTGTTCTAATCATACTAAGAGTACTAGACCATCCAATTTAGCATTTTGATTTGGTTTGTTATTTAACGCCACACTATATGCCAGCTATATGATGACGGACCGTGAATAATCGAGTCTGGAACATATCAATCAGTGATTGACATCATGAGCATCGATCTACACCATTGGACATGATGACATCCATCAACCCAGTCAGCGAGACAGACCAGCTCATCTCATTAGTCGCCTTTTATGACAAGCATGAGTTGCTATTTCTGAATTCTAAGCTGGATCTTCATGGGTCAATTTTGGTTTCTGCAGGTGATAAGGTAAAGCTCGCTGCTATAATCATAAGGCTGGGCCATTGGAAAACTTTGCAAACATTACAATTTTAAAATCGCTACAGGATCAAATTGATATATGGGTAAGCACATCATGAAGTCAGGTGTAAGTTTGTGATGCATCAATACATCAGTGAAGCGTGGCATCCCCAACTTACTCCCTGTAGAAGAGGTACTGGTCTGGGCTACAGAAGTAGCACATAAGATAGTTCATCTGGTAGCGGCAGATCTTGGTGGCTTGATGGAGGGGGTACATGCTGGAGAACACGGACGTCACCTCAGTGCGCTTGCAGCAAGCCTGGTTTGAGTACCAGGAACAGTTGATGAGACCTGGGGATGGGGCTGCAAACCTCTTTTCATCTGAAACATAAGAAATAAATGAGGAAAACAGACAGTGAAATAGTGACACTGCATTACTAAAGCATTATTAACTACAGTAGTTGTAATTATTTTTTTACTGTGATAGTTTCACTGTTAGTTATATATTTATATATAAACAAACAGACCCGCCATCTACCTATGCTGATTGTGTACACATATGATGTAGATACATAGAGATTGTTTGTATAAATCTGTATCGAATTATCGTATTGACTAGCAGTTACATCTTTCCGAGGTAAGGTAGTTATCTGACTTTAAAAGTCCAGTTTCCACCCTTGCTGAACTAGACTGGAATGACTGGGCTCATTCGTTGCGCCACCAGTGGCTATTACCAATTATGTCCCTTCTAAGCCCCTCCTATGGACCAATCAGATTCAACCTCTTGTATCACTTGTGTTTGCTTCACACAAAATGGTGGCGCCCAGTCAGGACGATTTGATCGATAATCAAGATCTATATTGTCATAAAACGGGTCTTAATCACGTGAGCACCTTGATTAAAAACATGAAAGGACTTGGAAAATATCTGCTGACAACGAATTGGGGATGCACATGCTTTGCAAACCCTGCAATTGATCGAAATCTGCATGACAGTTTACGAACCGGATTTTGATTTCGGTGCGCGATTTTGATTGGACTATGCATAGACTTGTTAGTCCAGATAAAATGTAACTCCATTATACCAGCCTAGTTCGGCAAGGGTGGAAACTCGACTTTTATAGTCAGTTAACTCCCTTGCCTCGGGAAGATGAGCAGTTAGGGCTGGGACAGGTTACTTGGGTCGGGTGGGTCCTGAGTAGGACCCGGGTACCCACATGACTACCTAGACCCGTGGTTAGTCACGTAATATATTGTTTAATGACAGAAACTCACAATAGCTCAGTGGTTACACTACAAGGTGCTAATGTTCGAATTTCTTTCTGACGATGCACACATTCCTTTGGATTTGTATATGTCTGAGTAAAGACAAAGCTTCAGACAACTTCAGAGTACTGTTTGATACATACAGTATCCAAATAGCTTTTGTCAGGGCTGTGGTAAAACTATTCCAAATAAGACATTTTGTTCCCAATTCTTGAGACCTACAGTGGGTAGGGTCTGGTCATAGGGGGTAGAGTAGCCGGGTAGTACATTTGGGCTGTCCCAGCCCTGCTAGTTATGAACATGGTGAATGTAAGAATGTTGAGGTGGAGAGTATGCTTATGTAGCGACCATAAACTTTCTGAGTCCTGTGATGGGATTCGAACCACGGACCTTCTGATCCAAGGTCGGACACCTTGTCCACATGACCAAAGAGGTTTACCCCGTCAGCAAGCTGACAAGGTAAGGATGTCATCTGTCGGATGACTCCACGCCCTGCTACATACTCCCCCGTCAACGAAAGGCACGTCCCAGGCCGCATAGTAGGGTAGGCCCTACTGAGGCTTATTTTGCTCAAATCGAATATGTACGTGCCCAGGCCGACATTGAGCGCCAATGTAGCGACCATAAAATTTCTGAGTCCTGTGATGGGATTCGAACCACGGACCTTCTGATCCGAGGTCGGACACCTTGTCCACATGACTAAAGAGGTTAACCACGTCAGCAAGCTGACAAGGTAAGGATGTCATCTGTGGGACGACTCCACGCCCTGCTACACTTACATGAACATGCATACGATGGATGTTCGGTTAATGAGTAAATACATGTGATTTTAGTGTCTATATGGGCCTCTATATGTCTGAAATTAGCACACGCTGAGCGGAGCTACTTGTCATATTCTGGCGTTCTAAATTCAAAGTTAGGCCTTCAACGCTTACAGAAATATGGGCACGGTTTCTTTGTCGACTCTTCATAATGCAATTCTTCCGATGCACTTTTCCCAGCAAAACATGTTAACACTAACGTACAAATGCACACGACTTTAGCGGCACTAATTTGAGGTAACATTGTAAAATTTCCGTCTTGCAATCTACCAGGAATAGTCTATTGATCAGGTGCTTCCATCTTGAATATACTATTTATTGTAAAAGAGAACTTCTAACATTTAACGGAAACGGAATATAATATTTATTTTTATTACAATGTAAGACCAAAATCAGTTCATCATATGACTAAAATGAGGACAAATGTTATATATTGTCTTGTACTTATACGATACTATAGAGTGTTTTTGAAGTCTGACATCTAATGTCCATGGTCAGCTGATTCTCATTCCACTTATTAGTCTTTACACGCACCTGCAACTTCCGCCTGACAGAAACGCGACAAGCTTCCGCATCGTCGTTAGGCAAGGCAATGCCTATCGTTCGTTAGAAGTGGGTTACAGATCCACGTTTCTGGGAAATCTCGGTCTATTTTCGTCGATTATTTGGATCCACACTTGCCTAACTTAGGGCTATACGTTGTTTCCCGCTATTGTCAAGGTAGAGGCATAATGGTTAGTATGAGAAATAATACCAAGTGAGAGTGTTAACATTTACGGCTTGCACGGTAAAAGGAAAGTAGACTAAGATGATGGTACTGATTAGAACGTCTTGATATTATTATACTTGTTCTGCATGAGACTGAGAACAGCTCACAACAAGATCGAAGAATGTGCACAGTATATACTATCACCTACTGGAACCCTGTGAAGATCCGGGTTAAAATTGGTCTTCATCAAACCATGCTTGTTGATGCATATGTCATCCTATTCCAGTGGCAACTGCGTAGATTGATGCTCATGATGTCAGTCACTGCATGGATTTTCTGGTCTGGTGTAGTGTATTTGTGAGACTATATATCATGATCACGAACTTGAACGACCAACACATAACTGGGAGGAACATCAAGTACAAATGACGTCTGAACTGAACAAGGATTTATTCGTAGCTGACCACAGTTCATTGTCATGACGTCACTCCCGATGCTGGGGCACGTGACGTATGGCGTAATAGCGCATGCACTTTGGCGCTCACAATATGTAAACAAACCTAACACAACATCCGGAATCAGTTATTTACAGACGCTTGGGGGGCGGTCGGGTAGCCTAGTGGTTAAAGCGTTCGCTCGTCACGCCGAAGACCTGGGTTCAATTCCCGACATGGGTACAATGTGCGAAGCCCATTTCTGGTGTCCCCCGCCGTGATATTGCTGGAATATTGCTAAAAGCGGCGTAAAACCATACTCACTCACTACAGACGCTTGCTGTAGCTGAAATAGTGCTATATGCAGCTGAGAACAACAAACAAACAAAACTTTACAGGGAGACTATATAAAGTCTTGGATAGAAGTTGGAACAATATGAATACGTGACACTTTTTGTTGTTAACAACTTCTTTATTGTTTGTAATACTAAACTTGTTTGAAACATTTAGACTAGCTTTCTTGAAATCTTTATTATTTAAGTTTCCAGGGAGGATAAGGCCCCAGGTACCCTTTGCATATCGGAAGAACTGGATTGGCAGGATCAGGCTGTAACAATGAATGTACCAGAAGGCAATCCTAGTTTTACAACTTACCACAAAGTTATCCCAATTACTTAGGGATTTATCTAGACCTGCTCAGAGGCTGAAATTCAGCCTCAATGTCAATAACTTAACATTTCCCAATTCAAGTTGCAATATATATATATATATGCATCATTTTATATAATTGCATTAAAATGCAGTCTTAAAATACCTCTGAAATGAAGAAATTTTTAAGGTATCCCAATTTTGAGCAAAATAATGATTTTTCCCCATTTGCTTGCCAGGGACACTTATTAGTACTCAAAAGTGGGACTACATAAAATTTCAAAACACAGTAGGTTTATCTCCTAAATGTAATAGTTAGTGGGCGTGTCCTCTATCACTGTGTCCACATGTTCAGCCATGCTTACAAGTTGTGCTATGCAACCTCTGTCATTACCGGAGGCATCGGTATGGAATGTTTAAAGTGTATCACAATATTTTATTTCTGTACGCATGTTACCGTATTCAACGCCCAGGGCGCTCTCAAAATTAGAAATAGGGGGCTCGAGTTGAAAGATTGTAAATTTCACGGTTTATGCTGACAGCCTGAAATGATTCAAAAGAAAAGTCTGTGCGTATTACACACGACAGATATATTTTCCAGAATTTAATTGCCCATAATTAAGGGTGCATGTAACACACGAGTGTGTATTATACCCGAATAAATAAGTCTTGTGTACATTGGTCGGAAGGGGTGCTAACTGGGATTGTTCACTAGCCAATATATTAGCAAAAATTGCGGTGGGTGCTTATTAGAGAGGGACGCTTATTATGTCGAATACAGTAATTGAAAGTAATTGGGTTTTATATAGTTTGGGGGTATTTTACGCAAATACAAAGCTTATCTGCAGCACTGACTCAGATTGGCTGCAGACAAGAAATATTTTTGAGAATACGCACACCAATTTCTTCCATAATCACTTAGGCATACCCCAAAATGTGTGTAGGTTACTTATATTTGTCAAAAGTGAACTTTGAATGAGTTTTCCAGATCAAAATTAAAAACAGGCGCAGGTAACCATGGTAACAGGTGTTGGATACAAGATGGCGCCTCCACAAAAACAGCATCAGATTTTGTTTTCGATCTGGAATCTTTGATCATACCAAATAATTTTAATTGTTAACTTTCAGTAATAATTGATCAAATACGTTTCATGTTGTCCTTTGACGTGATTCACAAGTTAATATTCTACTATTTCCATGAGATGTCTGTGGTATATCATTGTATTTCGTGTGGTATTTGTTAATGTTGGGACGATACACCGATGCATCCGAGGATCACAGTATTTTACTTCCCGATACAAGTATCGATCATAGAAGCATACTTAGTACAAAATATCCATTCATACCTTAAATGTTTTCTTTAATGGCTGTTACACCATGGCTGTTACACCATATGACCCGTGAAGATTCCGGGGTAGAATAGGTCGTCAGCAACCCATACTTGCCGTAAAAGGCGACTATGCTTGTCGTAAAAGGCGACTAACGGGAACGGGTGGTCAGGCTCGCTGACTTGGTTGATACATGTCATCGATCCCAATTGCGTGGATTGATGCTCATGATGTCAATCACTGGTTGTCTGGTCCAGATTCGATTATTTACAGACCACCGTCATATAGCTGGAATATTGTTGAGTGCGGCGTTAAACAACAATCAATCAATAAATCAATCATGCTACACCATATACATGTACTAATTATTAGTGAAAATTAGTAGTGAAAAAGTAAGTATTTTCATCCGTTGCGTCATACTTGACAGTGTGCCAGGTATTTGACTATCCTGTCTATGAAAACAAAGGTGTAAACACCACAGATAAGAGTTCATACAAACAAGTATTGTGATACGTATCGGGTCGTGAACAAGGTATCGTGATGCATATCGAATCGCACAGTTGATGTATCGTCCCAGCCCTAGTATTTGTTGATATGTCTACAGCTTGTCACTTATCAATCTTTCAGGCGATGGAGACAGCTCACAAGGAGATACTTCGAACTAACCGAAGTTACTTAGTGGAGAATCTATCTGATATTGCAGAAATTGTCAACCGTCTTTTTGAAATGAAAACAATCACTGCTCCCATGAAGGAGGGCATTCTGGTTTGTATGGCTTTGATCAGTAATTCTATGGCTTTGATCAGTATTGTATGGCTAGGATCAGTAATTGTATGGCTAGGATCAGTAATTGTATGGCAAGGATCAGTAATTGTATGGCTTTGATCAATAATTGTATGGCTTTGACCAGTAATTGTATGGCTAGGATCAGTAATTCTATGGCTTTGATCAGTATTGTATGGCTAGGATCAGTATTTGTATGTCTAGTATCAGTAATTGTATGGCAAGGATCAGTAATTGTATGGCTTTGATCTGTATTGTATGGCTAGGATCAGTAATTGTATGTCTAGGATCAGTAATTGTATGGCTAGGATCAGTAATTGTATGGCTAGGATCAGTAATTGTATGGCAAGGATCAGTAATTGTATGTCTAGGATCAGTAATTGTATGGCTAGGATCAGTAATTGTATGGCTAGGATCAGTAATTGTATGGCAAGGATCAGTAATTGTATGGCTTTGATCTGTAATTGTATAGCAAGGATGAGTAATTGTATGTCTTTGATCAGTAATTGTATGGCTTTGATCAATAATTGTATGGCTTTGACCTGTAATTGTATAGCTAGGATCAGTAATTGTATGGCTTTGACCAGTAATTGTATGTCTAGGATCAGTAATTGTATATCTAGTATGAGTAATTGTATGTCTAGTATCAGTAATTGTATGTCTAGGATCAGTAATTCTATGGCTTTGATCAGTAATTGTATATCCAGTATCAGTATTTATGTCTAGGATCAGTAATTGTATGTCTTTGATCAGTAATTGTATGTCTTTGATCAGTAATTGTATGGCTTTGATCAGTAATTGTATGGCTTTGATCAGTAATTGTATGTCTAGAATCAGTAATTGTGTGGCTAGGATCAGTAATTGTATGGCTAGAATCAGTAATTGTATGGCTAGGATCAGTAATTGTATGGCTACGATCAGTAATTGTGTGGCTAGGATCAGTAATTGTATGGCTTTGATCAGTAATTGTATGTCTAGTATCAGTAATTGTATGGCTAGGGTCAGTAATTGTATGGCTTTGATCAGTAATTGTATGTCTAGAATCAGTAATTGTGTGGCTAGGATCAGTAATTGTATGGCTTTGATCAGTAATTGTATGTCTAGAATCAGTAATTGTGTGGCTAGGATCAGTAATTGTATGGCTAGAATCAGTAATTGTATGGCTAGGATCAGTAATTGTATGGCTAGGATCAGTAATTGTGTGGCTAGGATCAGTAATTGTATGGCTTTGATCAGTAATTGTATGTCTAGTATCAGTAATTGTATGGCTAGGGTCAGTAATTGTATGGCTTTAATCAGTAATTGTATGTCTTGTATCAGTAATTGTGTGGCTAGGGTCAGTATTTGAAAGGCTTTGATCAGTAATTGTATGGCTTTGATCTGTATTGTATGTCTAGTATCAATAATTGTATGGCTTTGATCAGTAATTGTATGGCCTTGATCAGTATTTGTATGGCTTTGATCAGTAATTGTATAGCTTAGATCAGTAATTGCATGGCTTTGATCAGTAATTGTATAGCAAGATCAGTAATTGCATGGATTTGATCAGTAATTGTATTGCTAGGATCAGTAATTGTGTGGCTAGGATCAGTAATTGTATGGCTTTGATCAGTGATTGTATGTCTAGTATCAATAATTGTATGGCTTTGATCAGTAATTGTATAGCTAGGATCAGTAATTGTATGTCTAGTATCAGTAATTGCATGGCTTTGATCAGTAATTGTATGGCTAGGATCAGTAATTGTATGTCTAGTATCAGTAATTGTATAGCTAGGATCAGTAATTTTATGGCTTTGATCAGTAATTGTATAGCTAGGATCAGTAAATGTATGGCTTTAATCAGTAATTGTATGTCTAGTATCAGTAATTGTATGGCTAGGATCAGTAATTTTATGGCTTTGATCAGTAATTATATTGCTTTTTATAATTGTACTGCAAAATTCGTCTGGGACTGGCAAGTGTGGAAGGATCCTCAGGATCTACATATATATATTCTACATGTGCCTACCTTTCAGATATCATTCTGAAAGCATCAGATGTATTCAGATTAATGAGAATTTGACTTTGATCATTTTAATACTTGCATATATGGTACCTTCAACAACACTAAATGTAGAGGTCAGCTGGGCTTGATGGAACGACAATTTTCCATTTCCAATTGTCTCCTTGTACTGTTTGACTATTGTCAAATACTCTTGACATGCTTGAACTATTGGATTTGAGCCAGAAATGGGTGTAGATATATCTAGGACTAAGGGGCTTTAATTGTGTTTTTTTAAGGCAGCAATCTTTGATTTTCTAATGTCAATATTTTATTAAAAAAAACAGCATGTTTCTGGTACTGAAGTTCAATCCCATCAACTCCTTTTGCCAAGATTAGTCAACACCCTGGTCTCACTCGAGTTATGATTCAGTGTTGTTGTTTTTGCTCTAAAGGAAGGACAAAACACGAAAACGGAGAAAAAAAGAGCTTTGCTTGATTTACTACCACGAAGGGGGAAGTTTGCGTTTGATGATTTCTTCAACGCCCTCATTGCAAGTTCCGAATACACTGCTGCTGATGTCTTGAAGCCAGGGCAAGGACAGGCCGCCATGGAGGCGGACAGACAGGCTGGAAAAACTGCCTACTCAGCCCCACAACCCCGGGCTCCGTATGTCGCCTCACCGGTGGAGGATGACCTGCCTAGATGTAGGTGTACCAGTATTGTAATCATCTTCATCACATCTTCCCGAGGACACATAAAGATGCGGGGTAGAATAGGTCTTCAGCAACCCATGCTTGCCGTAAAAGGTGACTTTGCTTGTCGTATGAGGCGACTAACGGGATCGGGTGGTCAGGATCGCTGACTTGGTTGAAGCATGTCATCGATCCCAGTGTCGTGGATTGATGCTCATGATATCAATCACTGGATTGTCTGGTCCAGACTTGATTATTTACAGACCGCCGTCATATAGCTGGAATATTGCTGAGTGCGGCATTAAACAACCAACCATCCCTCCATTGTAGAGGTAACTTGTATATCAATGACAACAGGGCCAGTAAAGTGGAAGAGGCTTTGATGCTCGGTTTTACATTATCACACTAAATGCATTGTGTTAAAATACCTCCAAATTTAGGATATTTAGAACTGATGACAATCATGGGTTGCTGAAGGGCACTTTTAACCTGGATCTTCACAGATTGATACGTCATCTCTGTGCGTGTATTTGTTTCAGTTTGGCCTGATCAGAACTACAATGCAATGGATGTACAGGTTGTGAATGTTGCAGAAGAAGATCACAATATGCGGAATAAATTTGTCAGGTCTGGTACAGCTCAGTCGGGGGTAGGATCATATTTCTCACTCTATGTTGGTTGGTTGGTTTCTTGTTTAACGCCGCACTCAACAATATTCCAGCTATATGACGGCGGTCTGTAAATAATCGAGTCTGGACCAGACAGTCCAGTGATTGATATCATGAGCATTGATCCATGCAGTTTTGATTGATGACCTGCATCAACCAAGTCAGCGAGCCTGACCACACGATCCTGTTAGTCACCTCTTACGACAAGCATAGACGCTTTTTACAGCAAGCATGGGTTGCTGAAGACCTATTCTACCCCGATCTTCACTGGTCCTACGTAAACAGACACTTGAACAGACTAACATGTCTGTCTGTAGTCCAAGCTATGCAGAAATGGCACTGCCATCTACACGCAGGGGGGGGCGGTCGGGTAGCCTAGTGGTTAAAGCGTTCGCTCGTCACGCCGAAGACCCGGGTTCGAATCCCGACATGGGTACAATGTGTGAAGCCCATTTCTGGTGTCCCCCGCCGTGATATTGCTGGAATATTGCTAAAAGCGGCGTAAAACCTCACTCACTCACTCACTCTACACGCAGGCAATTTGCTACAGCTCTGTACAGGGACCGACTATTTGATGTTCGGGGGGTCAGGGAAGGGGTTGGGGATTTTATCGGGGGAAAATTGTCCTAGAAAATTCTTGAAAGAAATAATTATGCTTTGAGACTGTTGAATAGAAAAGAACTTACCTGCCACAAAAATGACATTGATGCACGGTGTTTTTCTTTTAAACAATTTCAGGCTCATTGTTTTTAAATTAAAACACTATCTTGTTTTGAAGCTGTAACTGAAAAAATATCTTATTCAAAACCCAAATCCCCCCTATCAAATGGATGGTCCCTTCAGATTCAGAAAAAAATTATATATTGTCTAAGCAGGATAAGTATTTAGTATCACCTATCATGGTGATACATGGTGATACATTGTATTAGACTATTGTAAAATCAAGCCCTGAATTGCTGTGTTGCTGATATTCTAACCCTTGAAACATCGAGACATTGCCATGGTTGCTGTCTTGCTGATGTTATAACCCTTAAAACATCGAGACATTGCCTTGAATTGCTGTCATGCTGATATTCTAACCCTTGAAACATTGAGACATTGCCATGATTGCTGTGTTGCTGATATTCTAACCCTTGAAACATCGAGACATTGCCATGATTGCTGTCTTGCTGATGTTATAACCCTTGAAACATCGAGATGATGCCATGATTGATGTCATGCTGATGTTATAACCCTTGAAACATCGAGACATTGCCATGATTGCTGTCATGCTGATGTTATAACCCTTAAAACATCGAGACATTGCCATGATTGATGTCATGTTGATGTTATAACCCTTAAAACATCGAGACATTGCCATGATTGCTGTCATGCTGATGTTACAACCCTTGAAACATCGAGACATTGCCATGATTGATGTCATGCTGATGTTATAACCCTTAAAACATCGAGACATTGCCATGATTGCGGTCATGCTGATATTCTAACCCTTGAAACATCGAGACATTGCCATGATTGCTGTCATGTTGATGTTATAACCCTTGAAAACATTGAGACATTGCCATGATTGCTGTCATGTTGATGTTATAACCCTTGAAAACATTGAGACATTGCCATGATTGATGTCATGCTGATGTTATAACCCTGAAAACATCAAGACATTGCCATGATTGATGTCATGCTGATGTTATAACTCTTGAAACATCGAGACATTGCCATGATTGCCGTATTGCTGATGTTAAAACCCTTGAAACATCGAGACATTGCCATGATTGCTGTCTTGCTGATGTTATAACCCTTAAAACATCGAGACATTGCCATGATTGCGGTCATGCTGATATTCTAACCCTTGAAACATCGAGACATTGCCATGATTGCTGTCATGTTGATGTTATAACCCTTGAAAACATTGAGACATTGCCATGATTGCTGTCATGTTGATGTTATAACCCTTGAAAACATTGAGACATTGCCATGATTGATGTCATGTTGATGTTATAACCCTTGAAAACATTGAGACATTGCCATGATTGATGTCATGCTGATGTTATAACCCTGAAAACATCAAGACATTGCCATGATTGATGTCATGCTGATGTTAAAACCCTTGAAACATCGAGACATTGCCATGATTGCTGTCATGTTGATGTTATAACCCTTGAAAACATCGAGACATTGCCATGATTGATGTCATGCTGATGTTAAAACCCTTAAAACATCGAGACATTGCCATGATTGCTGTCATGCTGATGTTATAACCCTGAAAACATCAAGACATTGCCATGATTGCTGTCATGCTGATGTTATAACTCTTGAAACATCGAGACATTGCCATGATTGCCGTATTGCTGATGTTAAAACCCTTGAAACATCGAGACATTGCCCTGAATTGCTGTCATGCTGATATTCTAACCCTTGAAACATGGAGACATTGCCATGATTGCTGTCAGGCTGATATTCTAACCCTTGAAACATTGAGACATTGCCATGATTGCTGTCATGCTGATGTTATAACCCTTAAAACATTGAGACATTGCCATGATTGCTGTCTTGCTGGTGTTATAACCCTTAAAACATCGAGACATTGCCATGATTGCTGTCTTGCTGATGTTATAACCCTTAAAACATCGAGACATTGCCATGATTGATGTCATGCTGATGTTAAAACCCTTAAAACATCGAGACATTGCCATGATTGCTGTCATGCTGATGTTATAACCCTTAAAACATCGAGACATTGCCATGATTGCTGTCATGCTGATGTTATAACCCTTAAAACATCGAGACATTGCCATGATTGCTGTCATGCTGATGTTATAACCCTTAAAACATTGAGACATTGCCATGATTGCTGTCTTGCTGATGTTATAACCCTTAAAACATCGAGACATTGCCATGATTGCTGTCATGCTGATGTTATAACCCTTAAAACATTGAGACATTGCCATGATTGCTGTCTTGCTGATGTTATAACCCTTAAAACATCGAGACATTGCCATGATTGATGTCATGCTGATGTTAAAACCCTTAAAACATCGAGACATTGCCATGATTGCTGTCATGCTGATGTTATAACCCTTAAAACATCGAGACATTGCCATGATTGCTGTCTTGCTGATGTTATAACCCTTAAAACATTGAGACATTGCCATGATTGCTGTCATGCTGATGTTATAACCCTTAAAACATCGAGACATTGCCATGATTGCTGTCATGCTGATGTTATAACCCTTGAAACATCGAGACATTGCCATGATTGCTGTCTTGCTGATATTCTATCCCTTGAAACATCGAGACATTGCCATGATTGCTGTCATGCTGATATTCTAACCCTTGAAACATCGAGACATTGCCATGATTGCTGTGTTGCTGATATTCTAACCCTTGAAACATCAAGACATTGCCATGATTGCTGTCTTGCTGATATTCTATCCCTTGAAACATCGAGACATTGCCATGATTGCTGTCATGCTGATATTCTAACCCTTGAAACATCGAGACATTGCCATGATTGCTGTCATGCTGATGTTATAACCCTTGAAACATCGAGACATTGCCATGATTGCTGTGTTGCTGATATTCTAACCCTTGAAACATCGAGACATTGCCATGATTGCTGTGTTGCTGATGTTAAAACCCTTAAAACATCGAGATGATGCCATGATTGCTGTCTTGCTGATGTTATAACCCTTGAAACATCGAGACATTGCCATGATTGCTGTCATGCTGATGTTATAACCCTTGAAACATCAAGACATTGCCATGATTGCTGTCTTGCTGATGTTATAACCCTTAAAACATCGAGACATTGCCATGATTGCTGTCATGCTGATGTTATAACCCTTAAAACATCGAGACATTGCCATGATTGCTGTCATGCTGATGTTATAACCCTTAAAACATCGAGACATTGCCATGATTGCTGTCATGCTGATGTTATAACCCTTAAAACATCGAGACATTGCCATGATTGCTGTCATGCTGATGTTATAACACTGATTGCTGTTTCTGTTTCTACCATTGCATTGTTGTTGAATTGTCTTTGACCATTGCTCTGCTTGTGACTGTTCCAGTATTACTGTATGCAGCGGAGACCAAGGGGAATTCTTTTAATAATTAACAATGAGAAATTTTCCACTGCAAGACAGGAGAAAAATCTTCCACTTGAAGACAGAGACGGCACAAATGTAGATGCAACATCCCTCGATATGCTGTTCGAAAAACTGTCTTTTATAACAATCACCGAGAAAAACCTGACAAGGGAGGTAAAAGTCACTTTTTATTCTTGAAATGTTTTGATGAATTTCAGTTCAAAATGTTGCTAAGACAAAACATCTATCCATTGCACAGTCCAGATTAATACATCACACACTTCGGGTAACAGATTCATCTTGCGTCACATATTTTATCATAGGTAGATTTTCATTTGAAGTTCTAAACATATGCTATTTTCACTACTTTTAGACATATTTGTGTACTTGACCTTGGCAAAAGCCCCAAACTGATTAAAATAATAAAGAACACATGCTATTGTGAAGCCTAGTTAGCCTAGTGGTTAAAGTGTTCGCTCGTCACACCAAAGACACAGGTTCCATTCCCGACATGGGTACAATGTGTGAAGCCCATTTCTGGTGTCCCCCGCCGTGATATTGCTGGAATATTGCTAAAAGCAACACAAAACCATGCTCGCTCACTCACTCACTCACTCACTCACTCACTCACTCACTCACTCACTCACTCACTCACTCACTCACTCACTCACTCACTCACTCACTCACTCACTCACTCACTCACTCACTCACTCTTGTGAAGCCATTTGAAAATGCAGGTGCCATCCTTTCATCATTTTCTACAACTTAAATGTGTTCCAGTGGGCCACAAATGTCCGTTATCCTTACTCCACCTTCAACTGGTGAAAAGGTCAAGATAAATAGTTCTAGATTTTTCAAAGGCAGCTAAACTGAGAATGTACTATGTTTTTGTTTAATCCCTTTTATGAATGACCAAGCATGCTTAAGTATGCATCAAAAGATTTTTATTGTTGTTGACTAATATACTTTTAACATCTTCAAACCACAAAGTATGTTCTTTGGATAATATCAGAAAGTTGAATATTGTTTAAGGATCTAATAATATCGCTTGTTAGAAGTGAAGTGTTTGCTTGTCCTGCTGAAGGTCTGGGTTCCCCACATTGGTAACAGCAAGTGAAGCCCACTTCTGGTGTCCCATGCCGGGTATTTTGGGAACATCGCTCACTCACTCCCACCCTCCTTCACTCCCACCATCACTCCCACCATCACTCACTCACTCCTTTACCCCCTCCTTCACTCCCTACCTCACTCACTCACTCCTTTACTCCCTCCTTCACTCCCACCCTCACTCACTCACTCACTCCTTTACTCTCTCCTTCACTCCCTACCTCACTCACTCACTCCTTTACTCCCTCCTTCACTCCCACCCTCACTCACTCACTCACTCCTTTACTCTCTCCTTCACTCCCTACCTCACTCACTCACTCCTTTACTCTCTCCTTCACTCCCTACCTCACTCACTCACTCCTTTACTCCCTCCTTCACTCCCCCCCCCACTCACTCACTCCTTTACTCCCTCCTTCACTTCCCCCCCCACTCACTCACTCCTTTACTCCCTCCTTCACTTCCCCCCCCACTCACTCACTCCTTTACTCCCTCCTTCACTTCCCCCCCCACTCACTCACTCCTTTACTCTCTCCTTCACTCCCTACCTCACTCACTCACTCCTTTACTCTCTCCTTCACTCCCTACCTCACTCACTCACTCCTTTACTCCCTCCTTCACTCCCACCCTCACTCACTCACTCCTTTACTCCCTCCTTCACTCCCCCCCCCACTCACTCACTCCTTTACTCCCTCCTTCACTCCCCCCCCCACTCACTCACTCCTTTACTCCCTCCTTCACTCCCACCCCCACTCACTCTCTCACTCCTTTACTCCCTCCTTCACTCCCACCCTCACTCACTCACTCACTCCTTTACTCCCTCCTTCACTCCCACCCTCACTCACTCACTCCTTTACTCCCTCCTTCACTCCCACCCCCACTCACTCTCTCACTCCTTTACTCCCTCCTTCACTCCCACCCTCACTCACTCACTCCTTTACTCTCTCCTTCACTCCCACCCTCACTCACTCACTCCTTTACTCCCTCCTTCACTCCCACCCTCACTCACTCACTCTCTCACTCCTTTACTCCCTCCTTCACTCACTCACTCCTTTACTCACTCCTTCACTCCCACCCCCACTCACTCACTCCTTTACTTCTTTACTCCCTCCTTCACACCCACCTTCAAACCCACCCTCATTCACTCAATCCTTTACTCACTCCTTCACACCCACCCTCACTCACTCACTCCTTTACTTCTTTACTCCCACCCTCACTCACTTACTCCTTTACTCACTCCTTTACTCCCTCCTTCACCCCCACCCTCACTCCCACCCTCACTCACTCCTTTACTCACTCTTGGACGCGACGTTAAACCCAATTTCACCTCACCTCACCTTTACTCACTCCTTTACTCCCTCCTTCACACCCACCTTCAAACCCACCCTCACTCACTCACTCCTTCACTCCCTCCTTCACTCCCACCCTCACTCACTCACTCCTTTACTTCTTTACTCCCTCCTTCACTCCCACCCTCACTCACTCACTCATTTACTCACTTCTTTACTCCTTCCTTCACTCCCAACCTCACTCACTCACTCCTTTACTCTCTCCTTCACTCCCACCCTCACTCACTCACTCCTTTACTTCTTTACTCCCTCCTTCACTCCCACCCTCACTCCTTTACTCCCTCCTTCACTCCCACCCTCACTCACTCACTCCTTTACTCTCCTTCACTCCCACCCTCACTCACTCACTCCTTTACTTCTTTACTCCCTCCTTCACTCCCACCCTCACTCCTTTACTCCCTCCATCACACCCACCTTCAAACCCACCCTCACTCACTCACTCCTTTACTTCTTTACTTCCTCCTTCACTCCCACCCTCACTCACTCACTCCTTTACTCCCTCCATCACACCCACCTTCAAACCCACCCTCACTCACTCACTCCTTTACTTCTTTACTTCCTCCTTCACTCCCACCCTCACTCACTCGCTCCTTTACTTCTTTACTCCCTCCTTCACTCCCACCCTCACTCCTTTACTCCCTCCATCACACCCACCTTCAAACCCACCCTCACTCACTCACTCCTTTACTTCTTTACTCCCTCCTTCACTCCCACCCTCACTCCTTTACTCCCTCCATCACACCCACCTTCAAACCCACCCTCACTCACTCACTCCTTTACTTCTTTACTTCCTCCTTCACTCCCACCCTCACTCACTCCCCTATTTACTCACTTCTTTACTCCCTCCTTCACTCCCACCCTCACTCCCACCCTCACTCACTCACTCATTTACTCACTTCTTTACTCCCTCCTTCACTCCCAACCTCACTCACTCACTCATTTACTCACTTCTTTACTCCCTCCTTCACTCCCACCCTCACTCACTCACTCATTTACTCACTCCTTTACTCCCTCCTTCACACCCACCCTCACTCACTCACTCACTCACTGTGAGACACTGTAATTAGAATGTTGAATAACTGCTGGATTGTCTTTTCAGGGAATTATTGAAGTCCTAAGAAGACAGCAGCAGGTCAATCATGACAATTATGACTGTTTTGTGTGTGTCATCTTGTCCCATGGGACTGGCGGGGGCGTGTTTGGTGTTGACGGCGAGGTCGCAAACACACAGGACATCACTGATATGTTCAACGGTCAGAACTGCAAGACACTCGCTGGGAAGCCAAAACTATTCTTCATACAGGCCTGCCAGGGAAGTAAGTGCACCAGACATTGCCAAAGTGAGCATGTTTCATGGGTTTTGGTCCATTATCATTGGGTAAAGGATAACAACCTTCTCCCACACCCGTGAAGATCCGGGGTAGAATAGGTCTTCAGCAACCCATGCTTGCTGTAAACATGAAGGCGACTATGCTTGTCGTAAGAGGCGACTAACGGGATCGGGTGGTCAGGCTCGCTGACTTGGATGATGCATGTCATCGATCCCAATTGCATGGATCGACATGATATTAATCACTGGATTGTCTGGTCCAGACTCGATTATTTACAGACCGCCGTCATATAGGTGGAATATTGCTGAGTATGGCATTAAACAACAAACCAACCAACCAGTTTATACAACTTTAAAACCTTTTTACAATTCAATGGAAGCTGGAGCATTTCCTTCCAAAGGGTCGGGACATTGGGGTGGAATGCCCGAGGTTCTTGGTTAATGAATACAATTGCAGTTTATCAACATTTTAATACCTACTCTACTCACACAGTAGTGTTACGTGACAAAAGGTTTATAATCCCAGTGATATCATATTGTAACAGGGCTATTGCTGTCTTTGCATGTTTTTAAAACAGATTTATTTAACCTATCCTGCATTACTCCTTAAAACATTCACTGCTTACCTTTTGACAGTAGTGAAGCTGTGATTGATCCTGCTGAAGAAAGGAAAGTGCAGTTCCGTTCAGAAATTTCTTTGTGGGGAATAAAATTTGTTTGGTTTGCTCTTTATTTAGACAACCAACTTGTTTACTATTTTGATTTAAATTGGCTTGTTTCTTACGCTTGGCACTAATTGCCAGGGATTTTTTTTCCAGAGATCCTCACTCTCGGTGTCTAGACTGCACCATACTTTGCATTTCATCACACAAGATTCCGGAACTGCAAGCTTTATTACCCTCATTTCAGCTTGAGGCCACACTTTGTCACCCAGTGTGTGATCTGAATGTAGTACTTCAGTGTTTCACTCTGTTCGAGCCTCTCCACGCAAAATCCTTCTTCACCCCCCCCCAAATGACAATTTTTTTCTTGGCCTTAGCCACAGCGGCAAGAGTGAGCGAGATTTATGCGCTCGACATCACTTGTGTACGCTTTGAGTGGGGCACGCAAGGAGCAGTCCACCTCGGGTTATGCTGGGATTTTATAGCTAAAACCAGTTGCCGGGACAACCCGATCGGTCTTTCGCTAAGCCACCATCATCATCAATCGTGGGAGTGGAAGACGAGGATGAACTATTATTGTGCCCTGTGCGTGCATGACAAGCTTTAGGCATGGGACATGGAAACAATTGTTTATCCTGGTTTCTGAGACTTCCATGAGCAAAGTCAGCCATATTACCGTTTCATTATGGTTGTGAGCTATCATCCTTCAGGCCTACAAGATTGTTAAGATCGAGCGACTGAGAGCCAACAACCCCCATGAGATCCGGGCGGTTGCCTCCACGATGACTCTTCACAGTAATTGTTCTATTAGAGTCATCATGGAAGGATGTTTTTGGAGGTCGGACTCGGTCTTTGCTAGCCACTTCCTGAGGGACTTGGCTTTCGAAGACGTCGACGGTATTCGCAGTTTTGGACTACTGGTTGTAGCACAGCAGGTAACCAACCAGCGACGCCATAAAAACATATGAATCATGTCCAGAGCCAGCCTTACCCTACTCGAGTAGTTTCATCATTCAATTGTTTAGGTTTTTTTCCCCCGCCGCGCGAAAGCGAGAAGCGGGGGACATAGTATTCACGACCGTCCGTATGTCCCACCTGTTTCTTGCCGCGATATCTCAAGAGCTAAACACTGGATTGTCTTCATATTTGGAACTATGGTGTATATACAGACTCCGCAGACCACAGTCGGTTTTGGTGACCTTGACCCCATTTTCAAGGTCACAGCAGGCAAATCTGCTTTTGGAGTTGGAAAACGGTGTTGCCGCGATATCTCAAGAACTAAACACTGGATTGTCTTCATATTTGGAATTATGGTGTATATACAGACTCCACAGACACCAGTCGGTTTTGGTGACCTTGACCCAATTTTCAAGGTCACCTCAGGCAAATCTGCTTTTGGAGTTGGAAAACGGTGTTGCAGCGATATCTCAAGAACTAAACACTGGATTGTCTTCAAATTTGGTACTATGGTGTATATACAGACTTCGCAGACACCAGTCGATTTTGATGACCTTAACTTAATTTTCAAGATAACAGCAGGGAAATCTGTTATTCGAGATGGAAAACAGTGTTGCCGCGATATCTCAAGAACTAATTTCTGGATTCCTTCATGTTTGATAATATTGGCTTTTGGAGTACGACAAATAGTTCCATGGAGGTATCTAACACAGAAAATAAAATTATTCAAAAGGAATAAAATATTTGGAAAAAAAACACATATCGCATAAGGCGACAGGGGACATTTCTTCACTTTGTGACAAATACTTGTTTTTACTGCGTTCACGCTATCGTAGCTTGGTAACTCAGTTTCTAGACCTTACTGAAGCTGTTGTCTCTTATTGTTTGTTTACCCGGACATACTCATACTCTCGTAACCTTTCCGTGAACAGGATTGGCTGATCAGTTCCCAATCTGTGCAGAAGAATTGAGCCACACAGCCGACACGACCTTTAGTTGGGAGAGTTTTTATCGAGTTCACATCTGAAGGTACTTCTGCCTCCACACCGTCGCGTACAGATGCAGTAAGGAGTTATGCAGGATAAGTTAAAAAATCGGGTAAAATGTTGATATTTTCTTATTTGTATACTTATCCTGCATTACTTTGTCTAAGGCCCCACCTGTCATAGACATGCCCCCCCACAATATCTTCAGCCATTTCATGTGTGACCGACAGTAATATCATCTTCCCGAGGCAAGAGAGTTAACTGACTCTAAAAGTCCAATTTCCACCCTTGCCAAACTAGGCTGGAATTCCTGGGCTCCATGGTAGTGCCACCAGTGGCTATTACGAGTTATGTCCTTTCTATGCCTCTCCTATTGACCAATCACACTCAACCTCTCGTATCACTTGCATTTGCTTCAAACAAAACGGTGGTGCCCAGTCAAGACGATCTGATTGATAATCAAGATCTATATTGTGATAAAACGAGTCTTACATCGCAAAGTGCATCAAATCACGTGAGCACCTTGATTAAAAGCATGAAAATATTTAGAAAATATCTGTTGACAACGAGTTAGCGGTACACATGCTTTGCAAATCCTGCAGTCGACAGAAATCTGCATGACACTTTACGAACCGGATTTCGATTTCAGTGCGCGATTTTGATTGGACTATGCATAGACACATTAGTCCATAATACCAGCCTAGTTCGGCAAGGGTGGAAACTGGACTTTTATAGTCAGTTAACTCACTTGCCTCGGGAAGATGCAGTAATATGGAGACATCTTTTGTCTACCACTTCCAGTATGACACAGCAGCTAGTGATTGCAGGGGGGTCCTACTCCTGCTTTTCTTTCTTCAGCAGGATCAATCACATCTTCACTGCCCTCAAAATGTAAGCAGTGAATGCATTAAGGAATAATGCAGGATAATAGGTGTGTCATGATAAATCGAAATATTGATATATTGCTATTGGTAAGCACTTAAAGTCAATATATCTATTGTTAAATCAATTTCCGATCAATAGTTTTAATTGTATTTACCACATCTTACAGTTCCCTGTAATGTTTTTGTATTTTTTACTGTTTTTTTTCTACAGCTAAGCGAGATACAGGCAGTGCTGGAGCACAAGATCCCTCTGTGGGTGAAGTCAGTCTCAAGTTTGAGAAGATGGGCTTGAAGAATGAAACAGAGGCATCATCCAAATCACAGGTGCAGTGTGAAACAAAGGCGGATTCTGTTGCTGAAGAAAACCTTGGAACCAGAGCAGACACTTTTGTCGCTCTTGCCACAACACCAGGTGATGCAGCAGTCTGGTCTATGTTGGTTGGTTTGTTGTTAAACGCCGCACTCAGCAATGTTCCAGCTATATGACGGCGGTCTGTAAATAATCGAGTCTGGACCAGACAGTCCAGTGATTAATGTCATGAGCATCGATCCACGCAATTGAGATCGATGACATGCATCAACCATGTCAGCGAGCCTGACCACCCGATCCTGTTAGTCGCCTTTTACGACAAGCATAGTCGCCTTTTACGGCAAGTCTGGGTTGCTGAAGACCTATTCTACCCCGGAATCTTCACAGGTTCTCGTCTATGTCCCTAGTGGCTTGACTTTCATTTCTTGCCATGGCTTCATGAAGTATTCTCAGTCACTGCACCAGGATATATTTTTATTGTGTACAGATTTGGCCTCATCCTTGTGTTAACTAAACATTGTGACCTCTTCAGTGTGTGGGGTGGTCAGGTAGCCTAGTGGTTAAAGCGTTTGCTTGTCATGCTGAAGACCCTGATTCGATTCCTGACATGGGTAAAATGTGTGAAGCTCATTACTGGTGTCCCCCACAGAGAAATTGCTGGAATATTGCTAAAAGTGGCGTAAAATCAAACTCACTCACTCACTCATGTTGAGAAGTAATTGATATGACATCATCCATTGTTGATGTCAAACATTACTTACATTATGTCATCTGAGCCAAAGGCTGTCTTCACTCACTCATTCTTCAGTGTGTACTGTACAGTGGGTGTCTTCAGTGTATACTGTACAGTGGGTGTCTTCAGTGTGTATACTGTACAGTGGGTGTCTTCAGTGTGTATACTGTACAGTTGGTGTCTCCAGTGTGTATTCTGTACAGTGGATGTCTGCAGTGTATACTGTACAGTGGGTGTCTTCAGTGTGTATACTGTACAGTGGGTGTCTTCAGTGTGTATACTGTACAGTGGGTGTCTTCAGTGTGTATACTGTACAGTGGGTGTCTTCAGTGTGTATACTGTACAGTGGATGTCTGCAGTGTATACTGTACAGTGGGTGTCTTCAGTGTGTATACTGTACAGTGGGTGTCTTCAGTGTGTATACTGTGCAGTGGGTGTCTTCAGTGTGTATACTGTACAGTGGGTGTCTTCAGTGTGTATACTGTACAGTGGGTGTCTTCAGTGTGTATACTGTACAGTGGGTGTCTTCAGTGTGTATACTGTACAGTGGATGTCTTCAGTGTGTATACTGTACAGTGGGTGTCTTCAGTGTGTATACTGTACAGTGGGTGTCTTCAGTGTGTATACTGTACATTGGGTGTCTGCAGTGTGTATACCGTACATTGGGTGTCTTCAGTGTGTATACTGTACAGTGGATGTCTTCAGTGTGTATACTGTACAGTGGGTGTCTTCAGTGTGTATACTGTACAGTGGGTGTCTTCAGTGTGTATACTGTACAGTGGGTGTCTGCAGTGTGTATACTGTACAGTAGATGTCTTCAGTGTGTATACTGTACAGTGGGTGTCTTCAGTGTGTATACTATACAGTGGATGTCTTCAGTGTGTATACTGTACAGTAGGTGTCTGCAGTGTGTATACTGTACATTGGGTGTCTTCAGTGTGTATACAGTACAGTGGATGTCTTCAGTGTGTATACTGTACAGTGGATGTCTTCAGTGTGTATACTGTACAGTGGGTGTCTTCAGTGTGTATACTGTACATTGTGTGTCTTCAGTGTGTATACTGTACAGTGGGTGTCTTCAGTGTGTATACTGTACAGTGGGTGTCTTCAGTGTGTATACTGTACAGTGGATGTCTTCAGTGTGTATACTGTACAGTGGGTGTCTTCAGTGTGTATACTGTACAGTGGGTGTCTTCAGTGTGTATACTGTACAGTGGATGTCTTCAGTGTATACTGTACAGTGGGTGTCTTCAATGTGTATACTGTACAGTGGGTGTCTTCAGTGTGTATACTGTACATTGGGTGTCTTCAGTGTGTATACTGTACAGTGTTTGTCTTCAGTGTGTATACTGTACAGCTGGTGTCTTCAGTGTGTATACTGTACATTGGGTGTCTTCAGTGTGTATACTGTACAGTGGATGTCTTCAGTGTGTATACTGTACAGCTGGTGTCTTCAGTGTGTATACTGTACAGTATGTGTCTTCAGTGTGTATACTGTACAGTGGGTGTCTTCAGTGTGTATACTGTACTTGGGGCATCTGCAGTGTGTATACTGTACATTGGGTGTCTTCAGTGTGTATACTGTACAGTGGGTGTCTTCAGTGTGTATACTGTACAGTGTGTGTCTTCAGTGTGTATACTGTACAGTGGGTGTCTGCAGTGTGTATACTGTACATTGGGTGTCTTCAATGTGTATACTGTACAATGGATGTCTTCAGTGTGTATACTGTACATTGGGTGTCTTCAGTGTGTATACTGTACAGTGGGTGTCTTCAGTGTGTATACTGTACAGTGGATGTCTGCAGTGTATACTGTACAGTGGGTGTCTTCAATGTGTATACTGTACAGTGGGTGTCTTCAGTGTGTATACTGTGCAGTGGGTGTCTTCAGTGTGTATACTGTACAGTGGGTGTCTTCAGTGTGTATACTGTACATTGGGTGTCTTCAATGTGTGTACTGTACAGTGGGTGTCTTCAGTGTGTATACTGTACAGTGGGTGTCTGCAGTGTGTATACTGTACAGTGGGTGTCTTCAATGTGTATACTGTACAGTGGGTGTCTTCAGTGTGTATACTGTATAGTGGGTGTCTTCAGTGTGTATACTGTACAGTGGGTGTCTTCAGTGTGTATACTGTACAGTGGGTGTCTTCAGTGTGTATACTGTACAGTGTGTGTCTTCAGTGTGTAAAGTGTACAGTGGGTGTCTTCAGTGTGTATACTGTACATTGGGTGTCTTCAGTGTGTATACTGTATAGTGGGTGTCTTCAGTGTGTATACTGTACAGTGGGTGTCTTCAGTGTGTATACTGTACAGTGGGTGTCTGCAGTGTGTATACTGTACAGTAGATGTCTTCAGTGTGTATACTGTACAGTGGGTGTCTTCAGTGTGTATACTATACAGTGGATGTCTTCAGTGTGTATACTGTACAGTGGGTGTCTGCAGTGTGTATACTGTACATTGGGTGTCTTCAGTGTGTATACAGTACAGTGGATGTCTTCAGTGTGTATACTGTACAGTGGATGTCTTCAGTGTGTATACTGTACAGTGGGTGTCTTCAGTGTGTATACTGTACATTGTGTGTCTTCAGTGTGTATACTGTACAGTGGGTGTCTTCAGTGTGTATACTGTACAGTGGGTGTCTGCAGTGTGTATACTGTACAGTAGATGTCTTCAGTGTGTATACTGTACAGTGGGTGTCTTCAGTGTGTATACTATACAGTGGATGTCTTCAGTGTGTATACTGTACAGTGGGTGTCTTCAGTGTGTATACTGTACAGTGGGTGTCTTCAGTGTGTATACTGTACAGTGGATGTCTTCAGTGTATACTGTACAGTGGGTGTCTTCAATGTGTATACTGTACAGTGGGTGTCTTCAGTGTGTATACTGTACATTGGGTGTCTTCAGTGTGTATACTGTACAGTGTTTGTCTTCAGTGTGTATACTGTACAGCTGGTGTCTTCAGTGTGTATACTGTACATTGGGTGTCTTCAGTGTGTATACTGTACAGTGGATGTCTTCAGTGTGTATACTGTACAGCTGGTGTCTTCAGTGTGTATACTGTACAGTATGTGTCTTCAGTGTGTATACTGTACAGTGGGTGTCTTCAGTGTGTATACTGTACTTGGGGCATCTGCAGTGTGTATACTGTACATTGGGTGTCTTCAGTGTGTATACTGTACAGTGGGTGTCTTCAGTGTGTATACTGTACAGTGTGTGTCTTCAGTGTGTATACTGTACAGTGGGTGTCTGCAGTGTGTATACTGTACATTGGGTGTCTTCAATGTGTATACTGTACAATGGATGTCTTCAGTGTGTATACTGTACATTGGGTGTCTTCAGTGTGTATACTGTACAGTGGGTGTCTTCAGTGTGTATACTGTACAGTGGATGTCTGCAGTGTATACTGTACAGTGGGTGTCTTCAATGTGTATACTGTACAGTGGGTGTCTTCAGTGTGTATACTGTGCAGTGGGTGTCTTCAGTGTGTATACTGTACAGTGGGTGTCTTCAGTGTGTATACTGTACATTGGGTGTCTTCAATGTGTGTACTGTACAGTGGGTGTCTTCAGTGTGTATACTGTACAGTGGGTGTCTGCAGTGTGTATACTGTACAGTGGGTGTCTTCAGTGTGTATACTGTACATTGGGTGTCTTCAGTGTGTACTGTACAGTGGGTGTCTTCAGTGTGTATACTGTACAGTGGGTGTCTTCAGTGTGTACTGTACAGTGGGTGTCTTCAGTGTGTATACTGTACAGTGGGTGTCTTCAGTGTGAATACTGTACAGTGGGTGTCTTCAGTGTGTATACTGTACAGTGGATGTCTTCAATGTGTATACTGTACAGTGGGTGTCTGTAGTGTGTAAACTGTACATTGGGTGTCTTCAGTGTGTATACTGTACAGTGGGTGTCTTCAGTGTGTATACTGTACAGTGGGTGTCTTCAGTGTGTATACTGTGCAGTGGGTGTCTTCAGTGTGTATACTGTACATTGGGTGTCTTTAGTGTGTATACTGTACAGTGGGTGTCTTCAGTGTGTATACTGTACAGTAGATGTCTTCAGTGTGTATACTGTACAGTGGGTGTCTTCAGTGTGTATACTGTACAGTGGGTGTCTTCAGTGTGTATACTGTACATTGGGTGTCTTCAATGTGTGTACTGTACATTGGGTGTCTTCAGTGTGTGTACTGTACATTGGGTGTCTTCAGTGTGTATACTGTACAGTGGGTGTCTGCAGTGTGTATACTGTACAGTGGGTGTCTTCAGTGTGTATACTGTACATTGGGTGTCTTCAGTGTGTACTGTACAGTGGGTGTCTTCAGTGTGTACTGTACAGTGGGTGTCTTCAGTGTGTATACTGTACAGTGGGTGTCTTCAGTGTGAATACTGTACAGTGTGTGTCTTCAGTGTGTATACTGTACAGTGGATGTCTTCAATGTGTATACTGTACAGTGGGTGTCTGTAGTGTGTAAACTGTACAGTGGGTGTCTTCAGTGTGTATACTGTACAGTGGGTGTCTTCAGTGTGTATACTGTACAGTGGGTGTCTTCAGTGTGTATACTGTGCAGTGGGTGTCTTCAGTGTGTATACTGTACATTGGGTGTCTTCAGTGTGTATACTGTACAGTGGGTGTCTTCAGTGTGTATACTGTACAGTGGGTGTCTGCAGTGTGTATACTGTACATTGGGTGTCTTCAATGTGTATACTGTACAATGGATGTCTTCAGTGTGTATACTGTACATTTTGTGTCTTCAGTGTGTATACTGTACAGTGGGTGTCTTCAGTGTGTATACTGTACAGTGGATGTCTGCAGTGTATACTGTACAGTGGGTGTCTTCAATGTGTATACTGTACAGTGGGTGTCTTCAGTGTGTATACTGTATAGTGGGTGTCTTCAGTGTGTATACTGTACAGTGGGTGTCTTCAGTGTGTATACTGTACAGTGGGTGTCTTCAGTGTGTATACTGTACAGTGTGTGTCTTCAGTGTGTAAAGTGTACAGTGGGTGTCTTCAGTGTGTATACTGTACATTGGGTGTCTTCAGTGTGTATACTGTATAGTGGGTGTCTTCAGTGTGTATACTGTACAGTGGGTGTCTTCAGTGTGTATACTGTACAGTGGGTGTCTTCAGTGTGTATACTGTACAGTGGGTGTCTTCAGTGTGTAAACTGTACATTGGGTGTCTTCAGTGTGTATACTGTACAGTGGGTGTCTTCAGTGTGTATACTGTACAGTGTGTGTCTTCAGTGTGTATACTGTACAGTGGGTGTCTTCAGTGTGTATACTGTACAGTGTTTGTCTTCAGTGTGTATACTGTACAGTGGGTGTCTTCAGTGTGTATACTGTACAGTGTTTGTCTTCAGTGTGTATACTGTTCTGGGGGTGTCTTTAGTGTGTATACTGTACAGTGGGTGTCTTCAGTGTGTGTAGTGTACACCGGGTGTCTTCACTATGTGTGTACTGGGCTTGTCAGGTTGTTAGTTCAGATCTGGAAGTGTGGGTTGTTACTAAATACTTCATATTTCTTCTTTTTTCTTGCCTTTCAAAAAATTTATTTCTCTCTTCCAGATTATCTGTCGTACCGAAACACAAAGAGAGGCACGTGGTTTGTGCAGGCCATCACCTACATCTTTCAGAAGTTTGCTCGTTCAGAAGATCTGTTGTCAATGATGACCAAGGTAAATTATATTTCTTGTCCGGGATAAATTAGGTCCTCAGCAACCCATGCTTGCCGTAAAAGGCGACTATGCTTGTAGTAAGAGGCGACAAATGGGATCGACGGGTCAGGCTCGCTGACTTGGTTGATGCATGTCATCGCTTCCCAATTGCGTGGATCGATGCTCATGATGTCAATCACTGGATTTTGTGGTCCGGACTCGATTATTTACTGACCGCTGTCATATAGCTGTAATCAGGGGTCCGGAAAATTTAAAATTCCAATCGGACATTTGCATTTAGGCCACGTATTTTAGTACGACTTTTCACAAACATTACAAGTTTACGTATTCATAATATAATGAATTATGAATTGTTTCAATTTAAATTGTTTAATTCACCGGACAATTAATAACAAATAATATCATTTTAGATTTACATGGAAAACATACGTTTGTTTCTGTTATAATAACGATCTGTTAACGTAGTGAACGGTCTAATTAATATTCATGAGTCTGCTCAAGTGTACGCGTTGTTACATTTGGATCGAGACTATTATCCCATATTTGGTTATCACGTGACCTCACGGGAAAAGTTTTTTTTTAAACTAAAGATTTTTTTAAAAACAAGACAAATAATTTAATCACAAATACTAAAATATCGTTGATAGCAATAGTTATTTGAATACTTTTTTCATCTGTACTTAATTATTGACCATAAAAAAATTGGATATCTATCGTCCGAGAAAGCAAAATGGCGGTCAATCAAGATTCAATATAAGACTAGCTACTGAAAACAATAAAATCTGCAAATCCTCATTGTATGTCAACCAAGTGAAAGTTGTTAGCCACGACTTACAAAATGATCGTCCAGACTTTGAGGGTTTGGCAGATCCGCTCGACTGATCTGCATCGGTCGACTGGCTGTCGTCACGCTTTCGCTTCTTATCTGAGGTTACATATTGTAGCATTGTGAGGATAATGAGGTACATCGATGATGCAAGGTATTAATGTACAGTTGTAAACACCTTTCACTCAAATTAACAAGATGTTCTCAGTAATTAATCCTCGATTAATCAGTGTCAACTCAGTTTATTGCCTATTACAGTGATTGACCGATTGGACTATCATGTAGGTACGATGTATTTACAGCAATCAAAACAAACAAAGCTTGTCAGTGTAGTTAATCTTCATTGTGTTGCAACTGCAGACTGAAACTGCTCAGTCCTAACTGTTGATCATGTCCGGTCAAAATTTAAGAATGTCCGGACAATACTTTTTAAAATGTCCGGTAAGCAATATTTTAAAACGGACATTTGAGATTCCCAATCGGACATGTCCGGCGCATATGACGGTTTCCGGACCCCTGGCTGTAATATTGCTGAGTACGGCGTTAAACAACAAACAATAAATCAATCTTTCTTGTCATTTCTCTGACCATAGTTGTCATACATCTACTTTTGACTACAAATAGGAGACAGCGTGGCCTGATCAATATGACCATGTATAAATCTACATTACTGTGCCACGGGCTGTGGTGTTACGCCTGGGACGATTTCAAGTAAATCTCTCAAGATAATTCGGTGATTCGATTGTGAAAAGTGCAATCTCATTAAAATCAGATCTTAGTTCCCGCTATTGCTAAACAAAGATCTTAGGACATCCCATTACGGGTCACGTCAGAACGACCATTCATTCAACCAATCAGAGCGTCGCTTACCAGATCATTAAAGTGACAGACGGAATGTATTTTCTGATCATGCAACCTTGAACTATTTAACAGAGGGTATTCCAAACGATAGTTACAGGTTTCAGAGCTCCAGATAAGCTTTTGGTGTTTTGGGTATTTTACCCATGCATTTTAAAATCATTGGGTATCAGTAATTCTATCTGGGTATTCAAATTTCAGTTACCCACTAGTTTTTACACATGTGGGTATTTAAGTTAAATATTTAAAAACACTATTCATCCAGTCCCTGCAAACTGGTGTCGTGTGGGTTTGAGAGCTTTATAGGACTCAAAAATACCACGATACTTCCACACGAAAGTGTGATGGCAAATGATCATGATGTGACTGTCATCGTGGAGTTTGGCAAGGTTGACGAAATGCCCGTTTATAATTTCAAAATAAGTTGCTGATTTGCTAATCGAATACGCAGGGTTACTTCACAATATTTTGGTGATACGCACAAATGTTATTTTTGTAGCGTATCTGTAATGTTCGTTGCGTATTTGATACGCTTGGATTATATTTTACTGCGTATTTCTGCATTTCTGATGCGTATTTCACGCAGATACGCAGCCTATCTGGAGCTCTGGGTTTTATGATTTTATCCATATAACTTAGACCATCTGTAAGCCATTCCAGAATGTTCTTTTTATCAGTTTTATATTTTTTAACTGAGGATATGTCAAAATATGTTTCGAAGAGTAGTCGCCAGTTTGAAACTAGTGTCGTAAAGCGCGAGAAAGCTGCTTTCTGATTGGCTCATGTCGATTTCTTGTCAGTCATTTCATTGATCGGTCAAAGTTCGCGAGAGGTCGTTCTTACATGACCCGTAATGGGATGTCCTCAGATCTTTGTTTAGCGGTAGCAAAAACTAAGGTCTGATTTTAATGAGATTGTGAAAAGTGGGACATAGGGTTTACGAAATTCAATTCTTTTCTTCCACAATAAACTGGAAAAGTTTTACCCAGATAAATAAACTGTTGCGCCAGGCCCCTCTGCCCAATATTTCACAGTGGGTTTCCGAACACTGCCAGCAGGACTACAGATCCACTGAGCTGTTTACCTTGTGCATGTCCTTGTTTTTGTACTGGTCAACCCTCAATACTTCACAGGATTATCCATTGTCTGTATTTCACAGGATTGTATAGTCTGTTTATCCTTGGTTGTTGTTCGGTGTGATAGTGACACGTGTTCAAGCTAACTAACGGCAGGCCAATTTACTGTACTCTGAGTTAACTTTATGCCAAACCCGTGAAGATGAAGGAGTGTTAGTACATATATAGAACGACCTGTGAGGATCCAGGGTAGAATAGGTCTTCAGCAACCCATGCTTGCCGTAAAAGGCGACTTTGCTTGTCGTAAGAGGCGACTAACGGGATTGGGTGGTCAGGCTAGCTGACTTGGTTGATGCATTTTATCGATCCCAATTGCGTGAATGGATGCTTATGATATTAATCAATGGATTGTCTGGTCCAGACTAGATTATTTTCAGACCGCCGTCATATAGCTGGAATATTGCTGAGTTTGGCGTTAAACAACAAACAAATGAACAAACAAACTTTGTGCCAACCGTAACATTCATTAAGGCAATCATCTTCCCGAGGCAAGAGCGTCAACTGACTTTAAAAGTCCAGTTTCCACTCTTGCCGAATTAGGCTGGATTTCCTGGGCTCGATCGTAGCGCCACCAGTGGCTATTACGAGTCATGTCCTTTCTATGCCTCTCCTATTGACCAATCAAATTCAACCTGTCGTGTCACTTGCATTTGCTTCAAACAAAACGGTTGCGCCCAGTCAGGATGATCTGATTGATAATCAAGATCTATATTGTGATAAAACGAGTCTTACATCGCAAAGTTTATCAAATCACGTGAGCACCTTGATTAAAAGCATGAAAAGATTTAGAAAATATCTAGAAAATAGTTAGACGAGTTAGCGGTACACATGCTTTGCAAATCCTGCAGTCGACCGAAATCTGCATGACACTTTACGAACCGGATTGTGATTTCGGTGTGCGATTTTGATTGGACTATGCATAGACTCATTAGTCCAGCCAAAATGTAACTCCATAACACCAGCCTAGTTCGGCAAGGGTGGAAACTGGACTTTTATAGTCAGTTAACTCACTCGCCTGGGGAAGATGTAAAGCAATATGCGGAGCGGACAGTCACAGGGCTAATGCACATATTGTCAAGCTAGAAACATTTGTGCAATGTAACATGAATGCTCATTGGTCTGGGTACTTGCATCCCTTGCATCCCTCTCCATGGAACCAGGCATTCGCTTGATTGGTTGGGTAAAAAATATATATATATTCACAGGTGTAGAATCTTAGTGTGAACATACCCATAGAGCATTGACAATGACATTGGCCAGGCAAATATAGAATTTGCTTTGAATAATACCGCTGAAACTTGATCCATTATTTTTCCAGTTGTCATCTTTGTTTGCAGGTTAACCTCCTCGTCAGTCGAGGTGAAATCTATGGCCAGGGCCTGAAACAGGTCTCCATCTTCAATTCTTCCTTTAGGAAGAAGTTCTTCTTCTTCCCAGGCCTGCAGGCTGATGTATCAGGACAGTCCCGCCCCCGTAATCAAATGCATCCAACCAGCTAGACCTCCACTCCACCAAACTGGCCTACCAGCAGCAGCAGCAGCAGCAGCCTAGGTGTCATCCTTGAACTGTCATCGATGCATGGAGCGTCTGACCCGCGTGTCATTTGATGTCAAATATATCAACACCACTTCATAATGTTTGAAACTTTGATTGTTGAAATAAAAGGATCCAAAGACAAGGGGGAGATTCTATTTATCATCCAGAAACATTCTTCTTATCTAATAGCTTGAAAGCAACAAGAATCAGTGTCTTGAGAGAAAGAAGTACAACTCACCAGCTTCTGTGGCAAAGAGATTCATGATGTTGTTTGATTGAGATGTCATGGTAACCAGTGATGTCACAATGGTCTGCTAAGTATTGTGATGCAATTTCCTTGTTATCATATCTCCTAGGAAATATAATTTGATCTCGCCGATGTGCTATATAGAGAATGTCACCCTCGTGTCTTTTGATATCAAGTATATCAACACAATTGATAAAAGTGGAAAAACTCAAGGCTTGCCTGACAATGGTCTACAAGCCATATCTCCTGTGAGAGCCAGTTTTGGTTGATAAATCCTGTTTTTGCCAGTTTGGGATGATAAATGTCATTGATGGTGTCTTTAGGCTGAAGATGGCAGGACCTCAAAGACTGACACTGACCTTGTCCTTTTAAAGAGAGATGTCATCGATCCCAATCGATGTCATCGATCCCAATTGCATTGATCGGTGCTCATGATCCATGGTCCAGACTCGATTATTTACAGACAGCTATCATATAGCTGGAATATTGCTGAGAGCGGTGTTAAACAACAACAAAACAAAGAGAGATGTGATGGACATTCAATAATTTGATTTACTGTCATGCACAGTTGAATCTGTCTAAAACAGACTTGTAGGTTACCAAAATTTGAGACTGGTGTTCAGACAGTGGTAGATTTTTACCATCCCTTGCCATCATGTGTTAAACATGAAAGATTGAAGAAATAATTTATTTGAGTTTACACATGGGTCAGTTCCCCATGTCTACAATGTTTACACCGTCATTGAATTCATCAAATTGTGTGTATTCATGCTCAGATATCAATCACAGGATTGACTAGTCCAGACTTGATTATTTACATGCAGCTGAAAAATTGCAGAGTGTGGCGTAAAACAACAAACAAACAAACAAACAGTAAATATGTTCGAACTTATGTTCTTTACTCCTTCTCTGAAATGGCTAAATGGATTCAGCTGAAATTTTGTGTGCAAGCTTGTTACTGAGGCAGGGTTCAAAGTTGTTCAAGGTATCAACGTTAGTATTGCAATATAACTGATAGGTAGCAGTCCTTTATTTAAATCTGGGGGCACGGGTGGCCCAGTCGTCTAAGGTGCCGTGATTCGCTGTGCAGAGTTGTGTCCCTTGGGCACGCCAGAAACCTATGATTGTGGGTTCGAATCCAAGTTCGCCCCGATTATGTTTCTAGGTTTGTCAGCACCATCCCCGTGCTCGTGGCTTTCACCGAAGTGGTAAACGTCTGAGACCTGCATCACTTCAGGCTTTCCTCCCACATTAAGCTGGCATGCCGCGATAAAACTGGAATACTGTTAAAAGCGGCGTTAAACCCAACTCACTCACTCGATCATAAAACTCAACCTTTTCCAATTGTAATGATATTTGGTATTTGTGTACTTTGGAACATGCTCTTAATTTTGAAATTCTTTGCACTTTGCATTCTTTCTTTAATTCTTTGCACTGTCGCACTATTGTTTTTGTTAATAATATTGTTACAATAATTCTATGAAATCTTTATATCATGTATTATAACAAAATGTTCATAATCATACTGTAACGTCTCTAACACAAATCTCTCTCCCCTGATATTAAAGGGTATGTCCTAGATATACACCATCTGTGTTTTTGCTCTTTCTATGCAATGGTTACATTGATACCAAAGTTGGCGGGGATATAGAAACGGGCTTGGCCCGTCACGTTTCGTTTCCGGAGCATAACTCATAAACCGTTTAATATTTTTTCTTCAAACTTTGAAAGTCTGTCAGGTACATGCTGAACTGGTGCCTCTCGCTATTTAGAAATTTTAGAAATCTTTATTTTTTTTACGTTTCTATGGCAGCAAGATGGACTTAGGTTCGGTTAAAAAAGGTGGCAAACTCTTGTTGGTTTTCATGCTATGTGGTTTCTCAACTTCAATTTCATTTGAACTGTCACCATGGGCATATGGTTCTGAATATATGGTCAGTCTGCTTGAAAAAAATAATCTCATCCACAATAAAAGGTCTCGACGGCAAAATAGCCATCCACATCAATGTTGAGTATTTCATGAGCAAAGCCATAATCTTTGACAGACAGACATGAGCATGATAGACAGCATTAAAAGAGGTAATGATGCTGCATTGACAGAGCAACAAATGCTGCACTAACAGGGGTACTGATGCCGTATTAACAGGGCGACAAATGTTGCATTGACAGGGCTAATGATGCCGCATTGACAGAGGATATTTTACCACATTGACAGGGATAATGATACCATATTGACAGAGGTTATTTTACCACATTGACAGGGATAATGATACCATATTGACAGAGGTTATTTTACCACATTGACAGGGCTAATGATGCCGCATTGACAGGGCTAATGATGCCGCATTGACAGAGGTTATTTTACCACATTGACAGGGATAATGATGCCGCATTGACAGAGCAACAGATGCTGCACTAACGGGTACGGATGCCGCATTGACAGAGGATATTTTACCACATTGACAGGGATAATGATGCCGCATTGACAGAGGTTATTTTACCACATTGACAGGGCTAATGATGCCGCATTGACAGGGCTAATGATGCCGCATTGACAGAGGTTATTTTACCACATTGACAGGGATAATGATGCCGCATTGACAGAGCAACAGATGCTGCACTAACGGGTACGGATGCCGCATTGACAGAGGATATTTTACCACATTGACAGGGATAATGATGCCGTATTGACCGAGGTTATTTTACCACATTGACAGGGCTAATGATGCCGCATTGACAGAGGATATTTTACCACATTGACAGGGATAATGATGCCGCATTGACAGAGCAACAGATGCTGCACTAACAGGGATAATGATGCCGCATTGACAGAGGATATTTTACCACATTGACAGGGATAATGATGCCGCATTGACAGAGCAACAGATGCTGCACTAACAGGGATAATGATGCCGCATTGACAGAGGATATTTTACCACATTGACAGGGATAATGATGCCGCATTGACAGAGGTTATTTTACCACATTGACAGGGATAATGATGCCGCATTGACAGAGGTTATTTTACCACATTGACAGGGATAATGATGCCTCATTGACAGAGGATATTTTACCACATTGACAGGGATAATGATGCCGCATTGACAGAGCAACAGATGCTGCACTAGCAGGGGTAAGGATGTCGTATTGACAGGGCGACAAATGTTGCATTGACAGGGCTACAAATGTTGCATTGACAGTGCTAATGATACCGAATTGACAGGGACAATGATGCCTCATTGACAGAGCAACAGATGCTGCACTAACAGGGGTACGGATGCCGTATTGACAGGGCGACAAATGTTGCATTGACAGGGCTAATGATACCGCATTGACAGAGCTTATTTTACCGCATTGACAGTGCTAATGATACCGAATTGACAGGGACAATGATGCCTCATTGACAGAGGTTATTTTACCACATTGACAGGGACAACGATATCACATTGACAGAGCTTATTTTACCGCATTGACAGTGCTTATGATACCGAATTGACAGGGACAATGATGCCTCATTGACAGAGGTTATTTTACCACATTGACAGGGACAACGATATCACATTGACAGAGCTTATTTTACCGCATTGACAGTGCTTATGATACCGAATTGACAGGGATAATGATACCATATTGACCGAGGTTATTTTACCACATTGACAGGGCTAATGATGCCGCATTGACAGAGGTTATTTTACCACATTGACAGGGCTAATGATGCCGCATTGACAGAGGTTATTTTACCACATTGACAGGGCTAATATTAGATGCCTCATTGACAGAGGTTATTTTACCACATTGACAGGGCTAATGATGCCGCATTGACAGAGGATATTTTACCACATTGACAGGGACAACGATATCACATTGACAGAGCTTATTTTACCGCATTGACAGTGCTAATGATACCGAATTGACAGGGATAATGATACCATATTGACCAAGGTTATTTTACCACATTGACAGGGCTAATGATGCCGCATTGACAGAGGTTATTTTACCACATTGACAGGGATAATGATGCCGCATTGACAGAGCAACAGATGCTGCACTAACGGGTACAGATGCCGCATTGACAGAGGATATTTTACCACATTGACAGGGATAATGATGCCGTATTGACAGAGGATATTTTACCACATTGACAGGGATAATGATGCCGCATTGACAGAGGATATTTTACCACATTGACAGGGATAATGATGCCGCATTGACAGAGCAACAGATGCTGCACTAGCAGGGATAATGATGCCGCATTGACAGAGGATATTTTACCACATTGACAGGGATAATGATGCCGCATTGACAGAGCAACAGATGCTGCACTAACAGGGATAATGATGCCGCATTGACAGAGGATATTTTACCACATTGACAGGGATAATGATGCCGCATTGACAGAGGTTATTTTACCACATTGACAGGGATAATGATGCCGCATTGACAGAGGTTATTTTACCACATTGACAGGGATAATGATGCCGCATTGACAGAGGATATTTTACCACATTGACAGGGATAATGATGCCGCATTGACAGAGCAACAGATGCTGCACTAGCAGGGGTAAGGATGTCGTATTGACAGGGCGACAAATGTTGCATTGACAGGGCTACAAATGTTGCATTGACAGTGCTAATGATACCGAATTGACAGGGACAATGATGCCTCATTGACAGAGCAACAGATGCTGCACTAACAGGGGTACGGATGCCGTATTGACAGGGCGACAAATGTTGCATTGACAGGGCTAATGATACCGCATTGACAGAGCTTATTTTACCGCATTGACAGTGCTAATGATACCGAATTGACAGGGACAATGATGCCTCATTGACAGAGGTTATTTTACCACATTGACAGGGACAACGATATCACATTGACAGAGCTTATTTTACCGCATTGACAGTGCTTATGATACCGAATTGACAGGGACAATGATGCCTCATTGACAGAGGTTATTTTACCACATTGACAGGGACAACGATATCACATTGACAGAGCTTATTTTACCGCATTGACAGTGCTTATGATACCGAATTGACAGGGATAATGATACCATATTGACCGAGGTTATTTTACCACATTGACAGGGCTAATGATGCCGCATTGACAGAGGTTATTTTACCACATTGACAGGGCTAATGATGCCGCATTGACAGAGGTTATTTTACCACATTGACAGGGCTAATATTAGATGCCTCATTGACAGAGGTTATTTTACCACATTGACAGGGCTAATGATGCCGCATTGACAGAGGATATTTTACCACATTGACAGGGACAACGATATCACATTGACAGAGCTTATTTTACCGCATTGACAGTGCTAATGATACCGAATTGACAGGGATAATGATACCATATTGACCGAGGTTATTTTACCACATTGACAGGGCTAATGATGCAGCATTGACTGAGGTTATTTTACCACATTGACAGGGATAATGATGCCGCATTGACAGAGCAACAGATGCTGCACTAACAGGGGTACGGATGCCGTATTGAGTGAGTGAGTGAGTGAGTTGGGTTTAACGCCGCTTTTAACAGTATTCCAGTTATATCGCGGCGTGTCAGCTTAATGTGGGAGGAAAGCCCGAAGTGATGCAGGTCTCAGACGTTTACCACTTCGGTGAAACCCACGAGCACGGGTATGGTGCTGACAAACCTAGAAACATAATCGGGGTTCGAACCCACAATCATAGGTTTCTGGCGTGCCCAAGGGACGCAACTCTGCACAGCGAATCGCGGCGCCTTAGACGACTGGGCCACCCGTGCCGCCCGATGCCGTATTGACAGGGCGACAAATGTTGCATTGACAGGGCTAATTGACAGAGCTTATTTTACCTCATTGACAGGGGCTAATGATACCGTATTTACGGGGCTACAAATGTTGCATTGACCGATATGGTGGCGAGCCCACAATACGACACAAACGTCAGAACTGATTTGGTGGGGAGCCATTTATACGACACAAACGTCAGAACAGATTTAGTGGCGAGCCCACTATACGACACAAACGGGAGAACTGATATGGTGGGGAACCATTTATACGCCACAAACAGGAGAACTGATTTGGTGGCAAGCCCACTATACGACACAAACGGGAGAACTGATTTGGTGGGGAGTCACTTATACGACACAAACGGGAGAACTGATATGGTGGGGAACCATTTATACGACACAAACGGGAGAACTGATTTGGTGGCAAGCCCGCTATACCACACAAACGGGAGAACTGATTTTGTGGTTAGCCCACTTTACGACCCAAACAGGAGAACTTATTTGGTGCACAAATGAAAGAAATACCAATCATACATGTTCTAATTGCGACATTCCTATTGCAGATGCGATATTTAAATTTGATTAATGAATGAGCATCTCCCTGTAAGAGGTCTGATAAATGTGTTTGCTCAAATGTGAGCAACCACTCGCCTTTGACACATGCCAAAACTCCATACTTGATTTAGTTCCTATTTTTCCCAGGGACCCAGAACAAGGTGGGGTGTTTTACTTCAACATCTGTGCGACCTTGTACTTGAAAACGACTTCATGGATTCTTTTCAAATTGGGGGTACAGTTTTTATACCAATGGGAGAGGTGCAGTGCAACTTTGATTTCAATAAGTGGACTATCGTTAAGTGCAATATTCCAGCATCTCAGGCTTTTGGTGTGTACACATCACAACTTTTGAGATACAATCGAGCATGCTCTTTTTGTCAAGATTTCAAAGAGCGTCATACGACTCTTGCTCAGAAGTTGTGTGATCAAGGTTACAACATTCAAGGCCTCAGTAAAGCTTTCAAAAGGTTTCATGGTAGACGTGTAAATCGTTATGACGGGGAAAGATATTCGTTATCACGGAGACAAAATGGGATCTATAACGTAAATACATTTGTCAAAACGAAGACTATATCCACCTAAAATGTTTAGAGAGAAATGTTTAAATACAATAATCGTGAACCCCATTTCCAATCCTCTTTAACAGCGTCTCCTGCCTCTAAGCCAGTCTGTCCCGTGGAATTGATGTCTTTACGTTGTATTAAGCGAATGCGTCGACCACCTTCAATTAAAAAACGTGAGAATGTTGCCTTTAGCAGACATTAGCTGGATTAGCCTGCCTAACTCGGCCGTTTCTTCAAAGAATGAGTGTTAGACTGAGACGGATCTTAGGTGGATATAGTTATCTTCGTTTTGACAAATGTATTTTCGTTATAACGCATTCTTTCTCCGTAATAACGAATATTTTGCCCCGTTATAACGATTTTCACTCGTTACACACACTATATAACTAATGTCTTTTTTTTGTAATAATGAAAGATTTATTCGTGCCTTTACCATATTCTAGTACCTATTTTTTACTCCGTAACCAAAGTTTTTTTCGTGTCTTTTTCCATATTTCAACTTTGACCTCAGTAGCCTTTCGAAATCATCGGCTTTTCCGGAGAACGCTAAAATATTTCCGAGGAGGATAAATAGAATATGAATCAGCATATTTCTGTGCACATCCACCTCTTCTCGTTTGACCAATTCCCCCATGACAAAAACAAATACCTACTTGCTACTGAAATACTTCTCACTATTCAAAAATACAATAAAAAACACATCTTTCGATCAGTAACGAATGTTTCGCTTTAGTCTCCCGTAATACTTTGACAGAATTATCAGCTGGCCCGGCCCGGTCTGAGTTTCTTCCGCATTCATGGATTCAAAAGTCAGCTCTTGCTAGACAAGGATTTATATCATCAGTTAATGAACGGATTTCCTGAAATTAAGTTATGACAGTTGCATAACAATCAATATTGGATCCGGACGACTACCAAGGAACACACATCATGGTAAGACTGCTTTAAACGGGGAGCACTTGCTGGGTTCGTGACTCGCTTTGAGGTAAAGAGAAAGTAGCCTCGATAGTGAATGTTGCCTACCAACGAGACTGATATGATTGTGAACGTGACATGTTTTATCGTCATTGTTATACATCTGTTATAGGGACTGACATGCGGCGTCTAGTACCTTGTAGTATGTAACCATGGTCGAGGGTACTTTAGTGTCTATCTGCATATAGCTGAATAGTGTATTTGATACTACACGCTGCCGGGAGATTTAAGGGTGTTTGTGAAAAGTTGGACCTGGCCGGGACGGTGGTTAATAATGAAAGTGGAATGAGGAACATTAAAACGAAATGTGGATAATTACGCGAAAAGAGGCACACCAATTTAAACGGAACATTTGTATGTATGTATGTATGTGTGTGTGTGTGTGTGTGTGTGTGTGTGTGCACGCGCGCGCGCGTGTGTGTATGAGTATATATGTGTGTGTTGTATATGTGTGTGTGTGAGTATATATGTGTGTGTTGTATATGTGTGGTAGTAGAGATTTAATGATGTTTGTATGTGTGTGTGTGCATGTGTGTGTTGTATATATGTGTGTTGTATGTATGTATGTATGTATGCATGTATGTATGTGCGTACGTATGTGCGTACGTGTGTGCGTCCGTGCCAGCGTGCGCGTGTGCGCGCGCGTGTGTGTGAGTTTAAATGTGTGTGTTGTATATGTGTGTGTGTGTAAATGTGTGTGTTGTATATGTGTGGTAGTAGAGTCTCAGTGATGTGTGTATAAGTGTGTCAGTGTGTGTGTGTATGTATATGTCTCAGTGTGTGTTGTATATGTGTGTATGTAGAGTGTCAGTGCGTAAATATGTGTGTATATGTATGTGTGTGTAGAGTATCAATGGTGAAAGTGTGTGTATGTAAGGATGTATGTATGTGTGCATGTGTGTGTATGTTGCTGTATGTGTGTGTATGTATGGATGTTTGATATATATATGTGTGTGTGTGTATGTGTGTGTATGCATATACGTTTGTGTGTACATATGTGTGTGTATGTATGTGTGTCTATGTGTGTGTATGTACAATGTATGTGTGTGTATTAATGTATTTGTATGTGTGTGCGTGTGTGTGTGTGCGTGTGTGCGTGCGTGTGTGTAGAGCCTCAATGATATATGTGTAGGGGTGGTAGGGGGTAGTTGTAAGAGGTTACAGGTTTGAAATTAGTTACGTAAAATGTGAACTGATACTGTATTCAACTTTCCTCGTGTTAGACACGTTAATACGTTACCCAGTAGAATAAAAGTAGAAGGCCCCGTATGTATACCGGGTGATTATAGATCCCTAACATGCCGCAGTGATTAGCTGGCATATTGCTGAGTAAGCAAGGAAATGTTGTTTGTATACACGTGCGAGCGTGCGTACGTGAGTGCGTGCATGCGTGCTTGCGTGCGTGCATGTATGCGTGTGTCTATGTACATATGATCAATCATTCTTATAGGCGATGACCGACGACCACAAGGATATACTTCGAACTAACCGAAGCAACCTGGTGGACAATATGGCCGACGTAGTTCGGATTGTCAGTAAACTTTTTGAAAGGAAGACAATAACAGCTCACATGAAGGAAAGTATTCTGGTTCGTATTGTTATGACAATTGTTCATTTTGGTTATTGTCGTCGTCATCATCAGCATCATACAGAATTTTAGTGACATGTGGAATATTCTGCAAGGCTAGATTGTAGTGGTTACTGTACCCTCCGCGATCAGCACCATGTTCATCATCATCATTATCGTACAGGGCCCCGTTCCTCAAAGCGATCTTAGCGCTACGATGATCGCAAGCCTATGTTAAAGTATGGGACTTACGATCACCTTAGCGCTAAGATCGCTTTGTGGAACGGGGCCCTGAACTTTGTGTACACATTTTAGTGATATGTGGAATATTCTGCAAGGCTAGATTGTAGTGTTTGCTGTACCCTCCGCCATCATCACCATGTTCATCATCATTATCGTAAAGAACTTTGTGTACACATTTTAGCGATATGTGGAATTCTACAAGGGTAGAGTATAGTATACACTGTACCTTCCGCCATGTTGGTAAAGGATGCGGTGTTGTTTGCGCAATCGCATCCTTAGTAAGTGGACAATCATTTGATATTATTGGTTAGGCATGGTAAAAATAATATGTTCTCGAAAAACGCACAAAAATAAATCGTTAATTGGACTTGCTGGATGTACTGAAAAAATAAAACAATTCACACACACGTATGCGCGTGCAAGCACGCACACGCGCACACACACACATTCGCTGAAACACACACACATACATATTCGCGGAAACACACACACATACACACTCTCACACACACATATTCGCGGAAACAGACATATTCCACCCGGATTCGAGTGTGTTTTCGTGGGTACCCCCACACACTTGACAACATTATGGAGGCGTTAAACGAATATGGGCGCCCTCTGTCCGCATATAGACTCGCGTGGAGGAACTGCCTCTATTATTAACCAAACGTTGTTGGCATATATAAGAACACAGATTCTTCATTGTCGTATTGTTCAAAGCCGCGTAATACACAACTCATTCACTCATTGTGAGACAATGTACAATGGGGCTTGGGTGTGGGCCTCAGGTCGATGTTAGCTCATGATCATTTTAAAGATGTCTATACTTACCATAAACTGTACCCGATTTCTCGGTTTTTAAGTTTTTTAAGTTTTTACTCAAATTTCCAACTGAGTTAGCAAAAAAACTCAGCCTTTCTCGAATCAAATTCAGGTGAAACCCTAAGTCTTAAGTCTTACGTGGTTTCGAACTCAGTTTGAGTCAAAAATTGAACTCAGTGTGGTTTGAGAAATGCATTTTGCTGAGTTTTCTCAAATTTGAGTAAAACTCAGACCTAAGTCAGTTTTTTAACTTAAGTTTGTTTCGAGAAATCGGGGCCATGTCCATGACAATGGTAGCGAGAACGAGGTAGATTTGTCACCTTTTGCTTAATTAAACCTATTATATTGTACCATCTTGTATTCGGAATGGTCTACAAGCGGCTTCAATCAACGGTAGACCACTTTTTGGAAGATGGTTCTTCATCGTAATCAACCACATCTGTATTTCAAAATATTTGTTTTCAAATCCAACCAATAGTTCATTTACAATACTGATTTTACTTAACAAATGTCTCAAGTTAGTGCAGTTTCAAAAAATATATTGTCAATCTTTCTACAAAAAAACATAAGGTAAAGTCCACTTCATAACAAAAAAACCGAATACTACGAAATGAAATGAACCATTGTCAGTCCCACATTGAAAAAAACATTCGGCTTAGCGACATCAATACCACATTCAGTACATATTAAACTTAATCAATCCACATTAGAATAACTTCGATGATGTGTCTTCGCATTCTGCTGACTAGACCTGTTCAGTTTTCATGGAGACACCGTCGCTCACTGTATGGTTACGTCTTTGCGGGTGTTGTTGAGTATTTGATACCCGAAATGTATTTGGAAGAGTGTGACGCCCCTTTGCGTCGTCTGCCGCCGTCATATTGCTGTGATGTTGCTTAAAAGCTTTTATATCGCAACTTACTCACTCGCTCGAGACCACGAATGCAATGGACACCTTATTGCGAACCGTGGAAGTTTATTGTGGTCTAAATATGTTTTGTTTGTTTGTTTGTTTTTTTGTTATTTAACGCCGCACTCAGCAATATTCCAGCTATTTGACGGCGGTCTGTAATTAATAGAGTCTTGACCAGACAATCCACTGATTGACAACATGAGCATCGATCCACGCAATTTGGGCACGATGACATGCATCAACCAAGTCAGCGAGCCTGACACCCGATCCTGTTAGTCGCCTCTTACGACAAGCATAGTCGCCTTTTACGGCAATCATGGGTTGCTGAAGACCTATTCTACCCCGGATCTTCACGGGTCGTTCTAAAACTGTACCCATACTCATACTTTGTTCCTGTTCAATAGGAAGGTAAGCACCACACACCAACGGACAAGAAATGGGCTTTACTTGATTTATTACCAAGGAGAGGAGGTAAAGCTTTTGAGGAGTTCTACAATGTCCTGATAGAATGTGACGAAAACACTGCAGCTGATATCCTGAAGCCTGGAGCGACAGCGAACACTGGAGCCTCACAACCCATAGAAGATGACCTTCCTGAATGTAGGTTTTGTCTAGCATTATAAAATTGTTTGTTTGTTGTTTAACGCCGCACTCAGCAATATTCCAGCTGTATGACGACAGTCTGTAAATAATCGAGTCTGGACCAGACAATCCAGTCATTGACATCATGAGCATCGATCCACGAAATTGGGTACAATTACATGCATCAGCCAAGTCAGCGAGTCTGACCACCCGATCCCGTTAGTCGCCTCTTACGACAAGCATAGTTAACTTTTACGGCAAGCATAGTCGCCTTTTACGGCAAGCATGGGTTGCTGAAGACTTTTCTACCCCGGATCTTTACGTGTACCTGAATGTAGGTATATGGCCAGGGCCTATTTCTTTTTCTTTATGTATAATTATGTGTCTTTTCCTGCTGCAATGGGATAACTAAAACGTCAAAGTTAGAGAATAACCAATCTTAACGCGAATGAGATAAAACTGGGCGTGAAAGGCAAAGAAGCGGTGAAAATTATTTGAATGGATCAATGAAAATCAGCGATGACATGTGATGGAGAAATATCGTATCATTATGCATCATGAGTTTCGTCTTTGCGGCGAGCTAGATAGGTACAGACGGTTCGAATTCAAGATTCTGCATGATTATAATTCTTGGTTTGCCAGTAACACAACCTTGGTCGTGGGGTTTACCAAACTCATACGCCTGATAGTTTTACACCAACATCAGAATAAAAGATTTCTAAGATGTGAGTAAAAATCACGTAATTTTACATGGAAAATTATTTTGGTCTGACTAGTCAACTCCAGGAGTCATGGTTGGGTGACCTCCGAATCTCTACGTAAGTCTGCTCATGTATAAAGCCCCGATTGGCTGACCAGTCACGAGGATACTAACCAGTTGTCATCACTACCATAAGTTATTGCACGTTTGAAGGCCTACATGTGAATGTCCATTTCTTATTTCTGAAGTGACCAATACCCAACTCCTTTAAGGACTGATGCCGACATTTTGCTTCTCACAATCGACAAAATTTCAAAAATGTATTCTTACTTTTGTTAAAATAAATGAATTTCAAGGCAAGATTCTGTTAAAGTTTCCTACAAACGCTTTACAGACTGGGAGCATGGATGGCACAGCCACCGCAATTAGCTGTGCAGAGTTACGTCCCTTGGCACGCCACAAACCAATGATCGTGGGTTCGAATCCCGGTGCGCCTCGATTATGTTTCTCATTGTCTTAGCACCAAAATGGTGAACGTCTGAGACCTGCATCACTTCGGGGTTTCCTCCCATATTAAGCTGACACGCCGTGATATTACCTAGTTATTGTTAAAGCGGCGTTCAACCCAACTCACTCTCTCTTTAAAATCAACTGTATCTGTTTCAGCTTGGCCGCCAGACGACCACAGTACATGCAACGTAACAGTTGAGATGGTTGCTGAAGACAACTCTGCCATGCGAGAATTGTTTGAAAAGTCTGGTTCTTCAAAGTCTATGGTATGTTGATATTTTAATTTTTTTTATCAACCACAAACATCCACATCATCATGTAAGAGGGGTGGTCGGGTATTCTAGTGGTTAAAGCGTTCGCTCGTCACGTCAAAGACCCGGGTTCGATTCCCGACATGGGTGCAATGTGTGAAGCCCATTTCTGGTGTCCCCCGCCATGAGATTGCTGGAATATTGCTAAAAGCGGCGTAAAACCATACTCACTCACTCACTCAATCATCATGTAAGATTATTACACACATAAACAGACTGCCTCCGGGGTCTAGTGGTACAGCGTCCGTCAGGAGTGCCGAACGTCATGGGTTCGATCCCCGGCCGCGTCATACCAAAAGACGTTAAAAGGTGGTACTTGTTGTTACCCTGTCTGGCGCTCGGCATTAAGGGGCTAAAACAAGGACTGGTCGGCCTGGTGTCTGTGTGGGGTATTCATGTTAAACTGTGGCATGGTATCCCAGTCAGCTAGCACTATAAATCGGCATCAGTCCGGACTAGTACAAGCAGACACACACACACAGGCACGCACGCACGCACGCACGCACGCACGCACACACACGTGCATGCAAGTCGCTATATAAGTGCAATACTATTGGACTCGACGTTAAACCAATTTCACCTCACCGCCTCACAAAATATTAGTATGATGAAACTTAACTTGATTACATTATGTGGATGGTCCCAAGATAGACGACGTACATCCATGTTCTTGAACTGACCAAACACCATCAATGAATGTCACAAGCTATGCTTCTCTTCCTTGACAGATCTACCGTATTCAAAGATCCGAGAGGGGGAGGGTATTAATAATAAATAATGAAAACTTTTCTACTGCAACAACGCCACTGGAAAACAGAACAGGGACGGATGCTGATGCTACTTCAATAAGTCTCCTTTTTGACCAGCTATCTTTCAAAACAGTCATCAAAAGAAATCTAACGCAAACGGTAAACACCTTTTTGACAATATGATTGAATGATTATTTTTTAAAGCATCAGATATGAAAGCAGAGGAAGAACAAATCTTAACTGTAGCTAAACGACAACCGAAAGAGCAAAGTTTAAAACAATATTTATTCAACCAGGGTCCTGTTCCACAAAGTTGGTCGGAAACCTCCTACTTTATCATAGGCTTACGATCAACGTAGCGCAAAGATCGCTTTGCGGAACAGGGCCCAGATCTGATGGAATTTCCAGGCTCACACATGGTCATTTTCTATGATCCAAGTCGCATGTACGTAAAACATAAGGGAACACCCAAGGGTGCAGCAGAACCCCCCTCACAATCGTACTCAGCAGCCATTCGCAGATCGCAGAGCCACATGGCAGTAATACAAGGGGCACTCCCAAACCCAAACTGTAACCACAAGTACGATTAACATGACATTGATGCATCGTCACTTTTTCTGTATTAAGAACAATAAAGTCTGTTGGTGTACCTTGTGAGTTTGCGAAACGTGCCAATTTTCGTTTTTGGCGTAAATGTGCAGGTGTTTAGAAGCATTTTGCAGTGACCAAATGTCACTTCAAACGGTTGTATTTCCCTCATGACCCCTTAGGTGTGTCGGATTTGGTATCAAACGTCTTAAAATTTTGAGAGCTTTCCAACGAGCCATCATGCACTAAAATCGCTTGATATTTGAGAAAAGCGTTTTTCACCTCTCAAGCAAAAGTACCTCCAAGTCAGCAAACGGAAAAGACATTGCTGTACCTTGTGTGTTTGACAAACGTGGCAATTTTCGTTTGTGGCGTAAATGCTTCACACCATCGAATCTCAATCTCAAACAAATTGAACTATTGATTTAGGCACGTTTTATTAAGAATTGAACGTCAGTTTGGATTGGTTCATTGAAGTGTGAACGATTTAAATGCGCTGGTTAAACTGTGTGAATCTCCGAGCTTGCGAGTGTTGATATATTTGATATCAAAAGACACAAGGGTAAGATTATATTTATCATCATGTAAGACATAATTCTTCCAACTTTTTCAGGTTGTTGACAGTAATTAGCAGTGTCTGAAGTGTAAAAAGTACCGCTAACAGATTCAGTAGCTGAGCCATTAGCAATGTCATTTGTTGTGACGTCATGGTAACCAATGACGTCACAATGGTCAGTAAAGCATTGTGGTGCAATTTCATTGCAGCTTGATCTCACCCAAGCGATATCTCCTGTGGGAGCTAGTTTTGGATGATGAATAAGTATATGCTATGAACTATTCATGATTCTTTTGAATGATAATGGCAGACTTATAGTCCAAATACCTAATTGTACTCTGCCACCTACACTATATTTATGTTGATCCCTTTGAAACTTACGACTTACATGTAATCCTTTTCTTTCGTTACAATCATACTAGATTGACATGTGTCACAATAGACACGTGATGTCCACATATTGGTATTCTGATCAAGCGTTTAACTGATTAACTATTTAAGCGAATGTAACCAGGTGAGCTACATTACCTTAACACTAATCCTTCGACTTATTGATTGTTTTCAAAATCTGATTGAAGCCCTGGACAAAGTGAATTAGGTCAAACATGTATGACGTACATGTATCTTCATTCGTCCCCACTCGCCCCTTTCCGTAACCTGCAAGAAGACTCGTCCCCCTATCGATGAATGTTATGCGCGAAAATACGACAAACCAATCAGAATGCGTGTACGATTTCGAGTTCTTTGTCAAATAATCCCTCAGAAATAATTTTTGATTTTACATATGTCTTGCACCTAAAAATATACACGAGACACAATTAAATATGTTCAATCATACTGTATGCTTCCGCACGTCCCGATGTGCTTTAAATTGCATCTAAAATATTTATAATATATGGGGAAATATATGTGAACCATTACGCAACGAGTTGACAATTGTTTTAGGTATGCCCGTTTGAGCTAAGACAGAACCCAGTCGCAAGAATGGCCATGAGCGGGGCACGAGTCGCTATTCGGCTTGTCCCGGAATAACACGAGTTGCTCACGAATGGGTTGTAACCATCCTTGTTCTGATGATTAATTTGTATTTAGGTGGCCACATTATGATGGCTTTCGAAGTAGCTCTGCATAACACTTTCAATGTTTGTTTGTCATATACATTTTGTATGCTGGTAAAGTATTATGATGTAAACGCGCCAAACACACAAAAAGACCACCCCGTTATTATACCCCCAGAAGGAGAATCGGAACATAATAGATTACCCCGAATATTGTTTGTTTTAATTTCAGCAAATGATTGAAGCCCTGGAAAAAGAGAGTAAGATCAATCATGACAACTATGACTGTTTTGTCTGTGTCATCTTGTCCCATGGCACCAGAGAAGGCGTGTTTGGTGTAGACGGCAAGGTTGCTAACCTGGAGGAGATCAAGGACATGTTTAATGGCCAGAACTGCAAGACACTAGCTTTGAAGCCTAAGCTATTCTTCATACAAGCTTGTCAGGGAAGTAAGTGCGACATGGGAACTTGTAAACCTATAGAAAGTGTGTTCTGTGTTGTGATTGGCTAATTTGGGTCACATGACCAAATGTCAAAGGGTGAAAATATGATTTGCATTCCCTGAAGCAAGCTACCGAATCACTATGTAGGAATACAAACCTTGTTTTCATGGATTTTTGAGAAATAATGAAAATATAATTTGAAAATAGAATTAAAATATGGAAGTAATAATCAAACAAAGCATTAATGAAAATAAATTTCTTCCTGATGGATGAAGTCACGCAAGTCTTCCCCTCTTGTATGTGGTAGCAGCCACGTGCACCATGGCAACGATAGAACTTGCATTCAAACCAAAGGTTCATATGGACCCAGGTGAATCCTTCCTTAAAAGCAAAGGCTCATGCGATGATACTTGATTCAAATCAGAGGCTCGTAACATGAATCCTTCCTTAGAAACAAACAAAGGCTCATGCGATGATACTTGATGCAAAGCAAAGATCCATAACATGAATCTTTCCTCAAAAACAAAGGCCTTTGCAGCGAAGGTCGCAACCAGATTGGTCAGGTCGTGCGTTCCATATGATCCGACCATTTAGCCTTCTGGAGTGGAACCTGGAATGTTAGTTTGAGACAGAATAATTTGTGGATACTCTTTTAGGAAGCACACTTTCATTTTAGCACAACCCAATTTTTCGGGACACCTCGCAGGTAAAACGAGAGAATTATTGGGGGTAAAACATGAGGTAAAATTGTCCACCATTTTCTTTCAAAATATCCAAATATCGAATATATACAAACGGAGTTTATATTATGACATATTGTTTTCAACTTGATAGCTAAGCGTGACACGGGCATTACAGGACCACCAGATTCGTCGGTCTCTGAGATCAGTGAGGCACTGAAACAAACAGGAATACAGGATAAAGCACATGCACAAGAACAAAACCAAGTTGCTTCAACCGAATCAGCCACTGAAAAAAACCACCCCACAAGAGCGGACATCTTTACAGCTGAAGCTACAACGCCAGGTGATATAAATGATTTTAGTTAATGTTCATGTCTGTATGTGTTAATCTAATTTTCTGAAAGGTGTCAGTCCTGAGGGTGTAATGATGAATAACAAGGACAATACGCTCATCAGAAGGTATAAAATCAACGACTCAGAGTTGCAACTTTATCAATAATGCTTTATTACTTTATCAACATTGCTTTATTACTTTATCAACAATGCTTTATTACTTTGTCGACAATGCTTTATTACTTTATCGACAATGCTTTATTTCTTCATCAACATTGCTTTATTACTTTATCAACATTGCTTTATTACTTTATCAACAATGCTTTATTACTTTGTCGACAATGCTTTATTACTTTATCGACAATGCTTTATTACTTTATCAACATTGCTTTATTACTTTATCGACAATGCTTTATTACTTTATCGACAATGCTTTATTACTTTATCAACAATGCTTTATTACTTTATCAACAATGCTTTATTACTTTATCAAGTTTGCTTTATTACTTTATCGACAATGCTTTTTTACTTTATCGACAATGCTTTATTACTTTATCAACGTTGCAGATTAAGACACATTGTTGAGTGAGTGAATTTGGTTTACCGCCGCTTTGAACGGTATTCTAGTTATATTACTGCGTGATAGTTTGATATGGGAGGGACGCCCGAAGTGATGCAGGTCTTACACGTTTACCGGGGCGGTCGGGTAGCCTAGTGGTTAAAGCGTTCGCTCGTCACGCCGAAGACCCGGGTTCGATCCCCGACATGGGCACAATGTGTGAAGCCCATTTCTGGTGTGCCCCGCCGTGATATTGCTGGAATATTGCTAAAAGCGGCGTAAAACCATACTCACTCACTTACTCACTTACACGTCTACCACTTTGGTAAATCATACACCCACCGCCAATATATCAAAAACCCGACTCTCCAATTCACACGTGTTTACTCAGATGAGGGAAAAAATACCAAACTGGGATTACAGTAGAAACGAAATGCGAATTACGCGAAAAGAATACAAACGAAAAGCGTTTCAAATACGATGAAGAAAAAATAGAAAATGAACATAGTGGCGCGAGCACTTTCTCCTCTTTCTTTAATGTCAATGGTGATCACTAGAAGTGTCTTATTGCATCAGCCACTCTCCAGAACTTTGCCATGCTGGTGGGTGTCGTGTCCTTGTGGATTGTCTGAGCGGCTGCACTGGAACCTGTCTTGGGTTGTTCTGAATCTCATGTTGGACGATGTCTTTGTCCTCATCACTATCCTCATCAGTGCTGTGAGGATTGTCCTTTTCAGTTAAGCCTCTTATTGGCTCATTAGTTACCACAGATTCTGTTGACGGTTTGATCGGGTAACAGCAGACAATGGGAACATCGTAAGTTTTTGATCGGAATTGAGTCTTTGTGAACTTACGAAGTTGGCATTTGTCTTTTGTAATGTTGACAACCATGTATTTGTATCTGGTATTTGTTTTCTCCTTCTCCCCCTTTATATATACGAGATCGCCAATTTGTATGTCTGATCGATCAAACAGAGTTTTGCCATGAGCCTTTGACTTACTGCTATATGGATGGTTGTTAAGGCGGGTAAGATGCTGTTTCATGATGATGTCACGATCATCCATTGGTAGCTGTGCGCCAGTTAGTTGGTCTCGCTGAGTGAATACTTCTCGTGCGGACATTCCACTCTGCCTCAGTCTGCTGTTGAGATTAGCTGTTGCAAGTGCGAGAGTGGATCGAGACAAAGGACCTCCCTCTGGTGAGAGGTTTAAGCACTCTAAGCCAAGTTCAGAGATTGCCTTTTCTGCAAAAGGATTCTTGTTGGGGTTTTTGCAGGAGCCAATATCAAGAGTTATCCCAATGTTTTGACAGAACAGGATCTCTGACCACAGCCTGAAACCCAGGTGCTGGATCAACTCGTATGATGACTCCACTTTCACCGAGATTGCGAATATCTGCACAGAGACACAGAAGGGCGTCACGTAGTTCGTTATGTCGCTTATTTTCTACAAAACATGTGAGAGTGAATGAGGATACTGTTTCTCGTAAGACACAGATAAGTTGGCCATATCTTTTCATGATATCAGCTGCGAAGGATGACCCAATGGATGGAGGTGGAGTGGTTGAGCTTTGCGGAAACAACTGTGCTGGAATGGTTTTGAGGGACGCACAATGATGACAGGAGGAAGATACTTCTTGTAAGGCTTTGTCGAGGTCCAAGGCATGAAAGTATCTACGAAGAGCTGTTTTGTTTGGTAGACACTTGGGTGGCTGAAGCGGATGTGTAGAGCAGTCAGCAGACCATGAAGAACTGCTCTTGGGACAACCACACGTTCTCGTACTTTGTTGAAAGGCAAAGTGTCACGCACCACCAAAAGGCCATCTGAAGCAATGCACACTTCATTGAGATATCGCTTAACATCGGGGATATTTGTAGCCTTTTTACCGGGTCTCGTGCTTTGAGTTAAGTGAGAATGAGTTCGACGTAAATCTGGACACTCATGTTGTGTGACATGCCAGGCAGTTCTGCTTGTAAAAGGCATGCGTATTCCTCCTTCAATAACGTCCGTGACCGTTAACTCTCGAATGACAGAGTCTGAAAATACGTTCACAAACTTGCACACCTGACATCGTTGATCATTGCATTCTATGGGATTTCTGCTACTGTAGTCTGAGGGGATGTTATTAGCTCCAGCGATGTGTGTAATCAGTACATTGTAGCGACTGATGGTCGACAGGAATGTGGTCACTCGTGAACTGTTTGAGAACTCTCCCCATTGAAGTTTCTCGTGTGCTTGAACACAGGGCCGACTATCAGTGAGGATTTGAGTTTTCTGAGAGGAGGTCATGATGTACGGGGCAAAGTGTTTCACTGAAGCTCCTATTGCTTATGCTTCAACTTCACAGGGTAGCCATGTTACCTGATAATGTTTTAGTTTTGCATTATAAAATCCAGCCAGCATGACCTTGTCATCTCTTGTAGTATACAATGTAGATGCGATTCCATGAGATTTCACGGATGCATCAGTGACAATAGTGAGGCTATCACTAGGTCTGGGTATCGTGATGCATTTGTGATTTTGTAAAGAGTCTTGAGCCTTTTTGAAGGATGTTAGGGAAGTATCAGACCATCTTAATTTTTCAGCCGATGGTCGTCCAGCAGTCATCAAGTCAAGAGGATGGAGAAGATCTGCATAGCCTGGTAATACTCTGCTCATAGCCTTGTAGGCACCGACAAATGAACGTAACCCCTGGATGGTTGTAGGTGGTTCAATCGAAGCAAGGGCAGCTATTCTGTGGCTACTTGCTGTCAATGTACCATTTTTCCACATCCAACCAAGTATTGTGGTAGACAGTGGACAAATGACTGTTTTTGGAGCAGATATGCGCAAGTTGTTTCGGCGGAGAGCATCAAGAACAAGCCTCCAATTTGAGAGAACTTCTTCAGGTGTATTCCCTCCACAAAACAAGTCATCTGCCAGTTTAACTACGAGTCCATCCTGAACAAGGTGGCCTAGAACTCGACACATCAATTCTTCCAGACAGGTTTCCGATCCTGGCATTCCCATTGCACTTCGAGTGTAGACTCTAACGCCCTTATAGGGAGTGACGATACCACAAAAGCGCATAGAAGAGTGAGATAGTGGAATCTGATAAAAGGCTTGCAACAGGTCAGTTTTGATGAGATATTTCCACTTTCCTATCTCGCGTAGGACATTGTCAACATTGGGCATAAGCGCTGGCTGAGGTTTGCTGTACTTAGCAACTTCACCAAATGACGTAACCAATCTGTAGCTGCCATTAGGTTTTTTAACCAGGAAGGATAAGTTGAGATACTCAACGTTGATATTAACTTGTTCTGGTTTGGCAAACACACCCATGTCTTCAAGTTCATAAAACTTGTCTTGGAGGGCATTGAGCATATCTTTGTTATAGTGAGGAAGCCTTCCCTTACGTTGTGGTGGGAGAGAGGGGCCCATGTTAACAACAGCCTCCAGCTTTCCACTTGCACCGTTGTACTTCGACACCTTTGGGTTAAAAACATCATCAAACTCTCGGTGCAGAGCAGCAAACTTATCACATATGTCAGAAGATAGACACCCATCAGGATTGAGACACACAGCAGCAGAGTGTGGACCAGCAGCTTGATGGTGAGTCACAGCTGGACGTGGAGTGTCTTGTGGTGTTTCTGGACATACAATAGGACGAATTTGACAAAGGTGTTCATTGCCCAACTGGTATCGGGATCTGCACACTCAGGTGTATGGAGATCGATGAACTGGCCTGGGAGAATGGCAGTTTGAACTGGAGGACCTCTGAGAAGGTGTGCCTGAGTGCGACGTATGGTAGCATGACGATTTGGTTGTGGAGCATAATGGATGACCTTGTGACCTCTGATGACGATTTGTCGTTTAGCAGGACGAGTTGCGATGTCATTTGTGACATGGAAAGGATTACCAGCAAGTACATCGACATCCAATTGTTTAACAATGAGGGCATCAAGTGTGAAGGTGTCATTCTCTCTGGTAAGGGTACAATGGACTTCCCCAATGACATCAAGGGGTGTTATTCCATCAGCCTGACGAGCCATCTGAGATGCAGGTGTTATGGGTAAGTTAATAGCCTTGGCAAACGATGCTTGTACCATGTTTGAAGTTGCTCCAGTATCAAGGGTTAACCTTACTGGATGTTGTTCATAATAAGCATTGAGGAAAGGAGACTGAATAACGTCAACACGGCTGGCGGTTGGTGTATCAAGTAATGGGTTTAGAGTAAAGTCACTGTCAGATTTAGCTGCAATCTCATCATCCACTGGCAAGTCAGGTTCTTCCTCAGCATTGGCCAATCTTGAGTTGCTAAACAGTTGGCGTTTATCAGTGTCAGGAAGATAACGGCAGGTTTTCAGGCAGTGGGTATTGTAGGCTGGCCTACCTGCAGTCTTGCATAGGATGCAACTTTTGACAACTGGTTTTTTCTTTGAAAAGTTCTGCTTCTGAAAAGAGGAATAAGCAGCTGAACGCAGAACCTTTGAGTCTTCAATGCTTTTCAGTTCATCCAGGAGAGAGAGCAAAGCCTGAGATATTTCTGGCTTGATTGATGATATAGTTTGGTTACGCAATTCGGCACCATACTTTTGTTTTACAAGATTGGGCAATTGTGGATGGATGAGAGAAAGCCAAAGCATAACAATGGTATTTTCAAGTGTCGGAGTCAAATCTTCATCTACATCTGGAACAAGGCCGTGATGTGTTATACCGCCTTGAGTGGTGAGAAGATTGTCCTCGAAAAAGGCTGTGAGACGCTGGAAAAGGTCCTCATGGCGTTCTCCAGGCATGAATTTAATGTCAGAGAGGTTTAGGAAATTAGCACCGGTTGACTGGAAGCCATAATGTTGGCGGATTTTCTGCCAAATGTCTCTCACTGATGTTGAATTCTTGATGATGGTGTTGCGGCTAATCACATTGCAAAAGTTGCATATTTGACCCAACATTAGATCAAGATGTACATTTTTCTGGGCTGCTGTTTTGCGTCTGGCTTCGGGTATAGCTTCGCCATCGTCGTGTAGGCCCCTATTTGGATGGGTAGTTGTTTTCTTCTCCCATGAAAAACCATCAGCCAAAAATGGAGCAAAATTGACATCAAGTGAGAGAATATATACCAGATTTTGACGCCAGTTTTCAAAAGATGTGATGGTCTCATTTTTTGTTAATTGCCAATGTTTGGGAGCGCGAGGAGTAGCCATGATTACAGTCAATGCAAAAGAAACGTTTGGGTACCAAGTTGATTGATTTTCACTGAACAGGAACGGTGTTTTTCACAGGTAGCGGATTCACGTTACGACCGAAAGTGTTTCGTCGATCGTTTCACGGCGAGTGAAAATGCCTTGTCAGAAGGTAAACTGGCTTATTGTGTGTATTCTTACTTGGAGGTAGTTAGGGGTTAAATCCTTCTGTGTGTCGAAGGCGTTTTGGGTGGATTAACCGCTGCCACCACGCCAATATATCAAAAACCCGACTTTCCAATTCACACGTGTTTACTCAGATGAGGGACAAAAATACCAAACTGGGATTACAGTAGAAACGAAATGCGAATTACGCGAAAAGAATACAAACGAAATGCGATTCAAATACGATGAAGAAAAAATAGAAAATGAACATAGTGGAGCACGCGAATGATGCTGACAAACTAAGAAAGAAAATCAGGGATTCAAACCCAGGATAATAGGTTTCTGGCTCATATATAAGAACGCAATACTGCATAACTAATTGTTGTGCCTTTGACAACTTGGTCACCAAAAATGTTTATATTAGGTTACTTCTTTCACATTTGTCAGTTAGGCCTCAATACTTATGCATAGAATATTTTAGTATCAATATTGACAGTGTACTTGTTGACTGTTCGACTTGTTAACCCAGATATTGAAGGTCGTTACAAAAATAAGTAAATTAAATGCTTGCTGCTTGTTTCTTGTTTAACGCGCACTCAGCAATATTCAAGCTATATGACGGAGGTCTATACATCATCGAGTCTAGACCAGACAATCCAGTGATTGACATCATTAGCATCGATCTACACAATTGGGATACGATGACATGTATCAAACAAGTCAGCGAGCCTGACCACCCGATACCGTTAGTCGCCTCTTACGACAAGCATAGTCGCCTCTTAGACAACATGGGTTGATGAAGATTGATCTAATCCGGATCTTACGACATTCTTTTTGACAATACCCCAGTGAGTAAGTATTTGCTTCACGTTTCTCGGTTTTATTTACAGGTTATATGTCAGTTCGAAACACAAAACATGGCACATGGTTCATACAAGCCATTGTTTACATCTTTGGGAAGTTTGCGCACAAAGAAGATCTTATGTCAATGATGACCAAGGTATGTTTGTTTGACTTCTAACATCTTTTTTGTTTGTGTTTTTTGTTTGTTCGTTGTTTAACGCCGCACTCAGCAATATTCCAGCTATATGACGGCGGTCTGTAAAAAAAATCGAGTCTGGACCAGACAATACAGACATCATGAGCATCGATCCACGCAATTGGGATATCTTCGTCCAGCCCAAGTTAAACTGTGGGTATAACACTGAGCTTGCAGCAGTAGACTTCTACTTATAAATAATAAACAGACAAATGACACTTTATTATAACATAATAAAGATTATAACTCAATGCAAAGAGGCGCATGTGAATGTTAAAATTAATGAGTGTGTGCTGCAGTGTGATCGGTTAAGACAGCCTCCGTGGTCTAGTGGTAGAGCGTCCGCCCGGAGAGCGGAAGGTCCGGCGTTCGATCCCCCGCCGCGTCATACCAAAAGACGTTAAAAGATGGTACTTGTTGTTACCCTGTCTGGCGCTCGGCATTAAGGGGCTAAAACTGGTCGGATCGGGAATCAGTATGCTGTGTCTGAGTGGGGTATTCATGTTAAACTGCGGCATGGTATCTCAGTGAGCTAGCACTATAAATCAGCATCAGTCCGGACTAGTACAAGAGGCCACACACACAGGCATGCACGTCGCTATATAAGTGCAATAATCTATGACACAACGTTAAACCTAATTTTAACTCACTTCACCTGATCGTTTTCAAACCTTCCTTAATGGAAATTATTTGGATCTTTCACTGGGTATAACTAGTCTTCTGGAGAAGTATCCCTTTTTTCTTGATCCCAAATGTTAAGGAAATATTCCATTCACTTTAAATATTAAGTTAAACTCTAAGATATAGACTAAAGACTTGTTGATAGCTTGGCATTGTTCCCCGATAAGCGTGGATCGTTGCTCATAATATCAATCTCTGGTTTGACGCCATTATTTACAGGCCGCCATCATATAGTAGGAATATTACACTACATTGAAAGATAATGTAAATGTTACAAAAAATGCTGACTTAGTTATCTATCAAATCAATTCAGTCATACATACAAAGGGTTTTAACTGACGTAATCTTATAAATCCTGCATATATAATAATCTAACAACATGCAAACAGATCTGTTGTGCAGGCAATGTACAAAGTATTATTTACAGTGAAACATAACCCCAGTATAAACGTCCAGGGCCTACCCACAAAGCAAACACAGCGCTGAGATGACAAGCGCACATCTTGAGGATACATGTATGAAAATGTATCATACTATTTCTTTTCCAGTCCCTTTTATAATGATGTAAGAAATGATTCATTCTTCTATTCTGAGGGAGTTGATCTGAACACTATATTGAATGGTAATACTAATTTTACAAAAAGTCCTCATCTAGATATCTTAAAATCAGTACATTCATACATACTTCATTCCGAAAGGTGTAAGCTAACGTGAGTCTATAAATCCCGCTTATATATTATTTTTCTAATCATTACACCAAACTGTTGTCAATGACTACTTGCTTTTGTTAACATATTTTGTTTATCATCAGACCGCCTCCGTGGTCTAGTGGTAGAGGTATTATCAGCCATAAGCATTCTTGGCGTGTTTACCGATCCTGATTCATTGAAACAAGATATGTTTAAATCATATTGAAGGAATTTTGCGGCGTTAAACAAAAAGTAATCGATAGTAAACATGAAATCCCAGATAGAATTTGATCTGTAAACCTAATATTCACCATGATAAGACTTAAGACACATTTGGCAAAAGAGCTAAAACCAATTTTTATGATGCCGGGCCACAAATAGGTTTCACACTCTACCATGATTGTGGGTTCGAATCCCGGTTCGCCCCGATTATGTTTCTAGGTTTGTCAGCACCATACCATAAGCACAACAAAATATGATTTCCAGTCCTGGTGATCGTCGTTCGCCATGAACTCACCCACACTGCTTAATTTTATGCACACAAACAATAGTCTAGTCGAGGAAATGGAAAGTAAAGAGATGAGTGTTTAGTCAGGACTTGAAGGTGTTGCTATTGTCAGCTTATCGGATGTTTGCAGGCCGAGTGTTCCATAGAACTCGGGGCGTGTGGGAAAATGTTCTGTAGCCGATATTAGTCTGTAAGGGGGGTTGGGGGATTAGGAGGGGCAGTTGGTACTAGGATCGCAGTCCACACCCTGGAACATATGATGATACACGTTCTGTTATGTGAGGCATCGCAGATTCGTGAAGACACATGTATGTCAGACTCAATTCCTTGAACTCATTGCTCAATGTGTTTAATTCAAAATGATGGTTATTAGAGGCAACAAAACGGAAGTTGAAAGTTTACAGAAATCATGTGCTTCACACATTGTTGTCATGTTTCATCCTTGTTTTACCAGGGGGGTAGCCTAGTGGTTACAGCGTTCGTCTATCACGCCGTAGTGTTCGATTCCCCGCATGGGTACAATGTGTAAAGTCCATTTCTGGTACCCCACGCCATTCCATCGGTGGAACGTTGCTAAAAATAGCGTTAAACGACATTCACTTCCTGACTTTGTTTTACAGGTTAATAACCTCGTGAGTCGTGGGAAGACCAAGAACAAAGGTGACAAGCAGGTCTCCTCCTTCACCCCATGGCTTTTGAAGACGTTTTACTTCTTCCCAGGACTGCATACAGAAGCCGGGTCGCTCAGTCAGGTTCAAGAAACTGGCTAGATCCAGGGGCCACTTGCACAAAGCGATCTTAGCGCTACAACTATTGTAAGCCTATGTTAAAGTATGGGAGTTACGATCATCTTAGCGCTAAGATCGCTTTGTGCAAGTGGACCCAGGTGTCTTCCGATACAAAAGTATGATGGCTGCGTTCACCAACCTGATGGACCATGATATATGTACAACAAGTACATAGATAAATAGAGGGTTAACCACTGTGTTCGGTTGTTACCGAGAAATCTACACACGAGTTATTAATCTGTCACGATTAGAACGATGTTATGTTCTTTGTTAACTATTGAAAGCTGATCGGAGTAACGTTGTGAGATTTAGTAATGTGATTTGATATTTGTTAATGGTTTTGGATTACTCGGCCCATAACTTTATTTGCATTCGTCTAGCCGTGACTATCATTCTCAATGAGCAACACTAAATAGGCCCACCTTTTTAGTGTATGTAAATACGTTATTCGTTTATTTGTTCGCTAGAAACAAATGTTATAAACCCAATTAAGGGGAAATTAAATATTGTCTTAAATATTGTGAAATATTGTTAACGATAAGCAAGGGCCCAAGGAACTGTCAGCAGGATTGATCAGGCAAGATTCTATGAATACCAACTCAAGCAACTGATCAGCTGATTATATCTTCTCAAATCCATCAATGGATTGTAATATTTTTGGACGAATTTTCCTCTTTAAAACTAAGTTTACAGTGAACAATTTAATATGTGAAATGATGATTATTTCATGTCATCTTTTTTTGTTTTGTTTTGTTCCTGAATATTTTGAGCACATGTGTTTTTATTATAGATCTATATATAAAAAACCCAACTTATTCAGTGGACAATTTTTCTTTTGAACATACTATTTAACATCATGACACCAAAAATGTTACTAAATGAGTCATCTAATTTCCCCATATTTGTGAATGACAAGAAACAATGTGAATTTGACACAATAATTTATTGTGTGTGAAACATAAATACATAGGATATATGTGAACAATAAATTATCATTTCTGTAGTTCTACAAATATTTGCATTTTAATACCTTTTCAATTTTACATTGTTTTTTTACTGCAACACTAACCTCCAACCTTTATTTCTTTGTTATTTAATCAGATTAGAAGTTAAGACTTACTGATAATAGGTACGTAATTTAAAATTAACATTTTCTTCCTTTTATCTTCATGAAAACGACATAATAATAAATATGTATTTTCGTGACCTGTTCCTGTGTGATTTATTTTGTAAAAAGTATTAAAATTAAAATTAGACATTGCTTATGTAAAGAAATGAGGTTTATGGTAAAATGTTAAAAGAGGACCTCTTGTTGGTCATTTCTTCATCACCCATAAATTTAAGTTTTTCTTTACTTACCATGTTCTGAAAATTTACACATTAGAATAATTTAAGGTCTCTGATTAAAATAGCTTTCCACTCCCATGCAGCCAATTAGATTGTGCGAAAAAAATAAACCACTGTAAACTTTGTAATGGGAGAAGAATAAATAAAAATACATTTCTTATTTTGTCATATGTCCAGTTCATCATCCCAAGAAATGCTAAATAATTATCATTAAAATCAAGCTAGCAATGCATATTGGGGCTCTTTATCTGCTATGATAATATAACAATTGCATTATTAGTGTGTTTTTCCAGTAAACATGGTAAATAATAAATCTTTGGTTTGAAGAATATACTTGAGACAAACATAATTCTACATGTCTTAATGATGTAAGCTTTTTTGTTGGGTATTGTGACACAAAGTCTGTGCTTCTGGATACCATCAATACTCAGTTATCATTGTGGACACCCAATCATTTCATCCTATCTAAAATACAAAATATATTTTAAGATGAATAAATGTACTTTATTGTTTAAAAAAAAAATATTGTTTTTGGAAAAAATACCTAATAAGGTTGATTGGCGCCCACCATCTTATCTTCATCATTTTGTCTGCTCCCTATAAGAAATCAATATAGTTAAGAAAAAATATAAATACATATATTACTTTCTGGAGTTTATATAGATTTAGGTATGACTTAATGGTTCAAGTTTAAAAGGGGTAATGTTTTTTTTTCATAATGAGTTTCGTAATTATCCTGAGATAGTATGTTTAAATAATTGAAGTCTTCATGTTTAAAAAACATCAAAAAATTATAGGACAAAAAACCTTAATTATATTGATCTGGATAAACTCCTACTATTGGAAGGGGAAACAACTGCTGTGGTTGCAAAACGTCTTGGTCGTGAGATGTACGGTCCGTCCGGCAAAGATTGATCGTTTGCTGCATTAAAATGGCGTATTGCTTCAGATCCAAATTATCTGAGTGTTTATTTTCTTCAAATATGAAATTTAAGTCTCGATTATTTTAACATTACTATGAAATATGTTTTTGATCGATCGGCTCTTGATCAACACTTCGTAATAACGTGACATTTCTTATGTGGTTGATAGTTTGTTTGTTTTTAAATACCGAACAATATGGTTTGTTTCACTATTTCATCGGTATTTTTACATGCATTTATTCAGTTTCATTAGCCTTGTGATATGCCTTGAAAATTCCCAGTAAAGAATGTACCGGAGTTGCTCGCCAGGTCCCGTAATATCGATGCGGTATCTCGCTTCGGTTACCGTCTTCTCATTCTGCAACTAAATCTGGTAGCCGAAATTCCACAAATTTTCTCTCGGTCACCAACTTTCGGAGATGGAAACATTGTCACTACAGTAATGTTTTGCCAGCTGGGGATTTTCTGTATTAGACGACCTTGGATATCCCCATCCGAAACTAGTGCCGTCAATTATTTTTAGCCAGCCAATCAAAATGACACAACTTTCCACTCTCAGCCAGCCAATCAGATTGGGTGAAAAAAATAAACCACTGCTGGCGATTGAAGATCAAGCCCTGTTATGGGAGAAGTTATTTGTATCTTTTTATGAACAAAATAGACTTCCAAATTATTATTAGGAGATTGAATTAAGAAGTCTAATTCATTTCACTCAATCTGTCTCAAATCAAGTCTCATTTTTCAGGCAGCCTGTACATTGCCTGAGTGAAATTTTCAGCCAATATACATATTGCCTGATAGATATTGACTGTAACATCAAAATCATCACTATGCTTGTTGTAAGAGGCGACTAACGGGATCGGGTGGTCAGGCTCGCTGCCTTAGTTGATGCACGTCATCGTATCCCAATTGCGTGGATCGATGTTCGTGATGTCAATTACTGGATTGTCTGGTCCAGACTTGATTATTTACAGACCGCCGTCATGTAGCTTGAAAATTGCTCAGTGCGGTGTTCAACAACAAGCACAAACTCAGCATATTGCACGTTTTCCAATTTTTGCTTTAAAACATATACAACGATACTTTATCACTTCCATAACCGAAAAGGAAACGTATTACTAGGCAGTCTTCAGCACACACAGTCAGAACATCGTCCATGTTGCACGTCAAGGCCATCTTCCCGAGGCAAGAGAGTTAACTGACTTTAAAAGTCCAGTTTCCACCCTTGCCGAACTAGGCTGCAATTCCTTGGCTCGATCATAGCGCCACCAGTGGCTATTACCAGTCCTGTCCCAGCCTCTCCTATGGACCAATCAGATTTCACCTCTCGTATCACTTGCGTTTGCTTCACACAAAATGGTGGCGCCCGTTCAATTAGATCTGATCAACAATCAAGATCTATATTCTGATCAAACGAGTCTTACATCGCGAAAGCCATCAAATCGCGTGAGCACCTTGATTAAAAACATGAAAACATTTGGAAAATATCTGCTGACATCGATTTCGCGGTGAACATGCTCAGCAAATCCTGCAATCGACCGAAATCTGTACGACAGTGTACGAACCGGATTTCGATTTCGGTGCGCGATTTTGATTGGACTATGCATAGACTCGTTTGTCCAGCCAAAATGTAACTCCATAATACTAGCCTAGTTCGGCAAGGGTGGAAACTGGACTTTTATAGTCAGTTAACTCTCTTGCCTCGGGAAGATGGTCAAGGCTGGAAGACACATGCAATAAGTTGCCTCTCACATACATACTGCCTGTTCGTAAAACGCACATTAACAATGATCACACATGAATGCTTATAATGTGCGCTCAGCAAATGCTAATACTATTCTTATTTTGTCACCCATATGTAGTGTTTTCTAAAATAAACAGACAAATATTGTTGTCAAGGTTGTTATTTATATCATACATTCGTTCATCACCTACTGAATTAAAGGGCGGTCGGGTAGCCTAGTGGTTAAAGCCTTCGCAGTAGTATATAGTGAGGGCGCAGGAACCTTTTTTGGTTGATCCGGTTGATCCAGGCGGATGCGAAGGTGATTGGTTGATCCAAGTCACGTGATCGGATAGGATGACTCATGCATCAACAGCGCGTTACAGGTGAGGGGAGGGAATGAAAGGTGTGTGTGTTTATAAGACAGAAAAGAATTCGTAAGTAAACAAAAGTAAAAGGTTATGAATAGAGCTATGCGTATGGCGTGCTGTCCTGAATAGACAAGCAGCCCAGTTTGAATCGAGCGCGCTTGACAACTCACGTGACCACGTCGTTTCAAATTGTTTATTGGTCGTAATGGTTTCGTTAATTTCAGGCGTAAGTAGAAATTACAATTAGTGTACAACTCACGTAGTCGTTTCAAATTGACCGCGCTCGCGAGAGTGGTTTGATGAATGCAGGGTGTGTGTTGAAAAGTACAAGTACCACAATAGAGACGGGTTATGTCAACACGATATACGCCGGGTAATGTAAGGAAATAAAATGTACGTCTAGCTGGATCAAATTCATCTTATACGGTCTACACGTTGTACACCATGAACGTTAGACAACCTGTATAGAAAAAAAAATATATAGACAAAATAGATAAGACTACGCAATCAGCAAGCTAGCAGTTTACGTTTAGCGCACAAGAACGAGCTAATGTATAGCAGAGAGACTAAGAGACCGGCCGCCCATAACAATGTCAACATACACTACCCCGGCCTTACAATTAATGTTAACATACCAGCCTCGCCTGACGCTTCCCATTCATAAATTGTGTGACCAGTGTCCCGTATGTATGATACGTTAGGGAAGATGTGTTGTACATTTGTTATTTTAAAAGGGAGTTATTTCAGAGAGGATATATATATGGGTATTCCCCCTCATTAAACCTTTCTTTCGTTGGTGTCTATTAAACGTATCCGGTATTTAATACATTTGAATGATGTAGGAAAGTATGTGCGTGTAGATGTTGTACCTATATCCGAACACGAATGTATGACACCTTTCAATAGATCAATTACGGTTCTAACCACGACACGCAACATGACTATGAGCGTGGTTAGCAGTTCATATTTATAAACACATCGTAAATGACAGATTTCTGATGAATGAACTCGCCCGCACACATGTCTATAGGGTTATGTTCGCCCGAACTGTAAACAGTGACACATTGGATAACAGGAAGGATGTGTGGAATGCACTCGTCCTTGTCAGGGTAAAATACGCGTTTAAACTCACCATTTAAATGATGACGACATTACTTTTTAGATGTATTGGTATCAGTGAGTGAGTGAATTTAGTTTTACGCCACACTCGGCATTATTCAAGCTCTAGGACGGCGGTCTGTCAATAAACGAGCTTGGACCAGACAATCCAGTGATCAACAGCATGAGCAGCGATATGTGCAACTAGGATCCGATGGCACGTGTCTTCCAAGTCGGCGAGACTGACCAACCGATCCCCGCTGTCAGTCGCCGATAAGCATGGGTTACTGAAGGTCGATTCTATAACCCGGGACCTTCACGGGTGTAGTATGACGAAGACTATATACTAATATGCCAAAAACTGAGAAAAAAACCAAACAATTCATTCGTATCATTTATTGATTCGAGTCAATCGGTTCCATACAAAGCCGTGGTATACGAATGGACAATAGTATTCACTCTGGAACATTATTTAGTCACTCATATACACATGCTGCTGCTGCTGCTGCTCGAAGGCCCTATTGTTTAAACAGCGAGTCCATGTTTTGAAACACATTTCGCACTGTTGAATGTTTCCTTGTCTACGCTGGTTTAAGGTTGAATGGTTGTCTATAGTCCATGCTTTATCC